TTAACTTTCAGCCACACCAGCCTCTTATTTCAGAATGTTCACTTTGTCTGGTTTTGTTGCAGTCTGCCCCATGTGATCATAATAAATAATAATGATAATAACAATTACAATAGCCTCAGATGAGTTTTGTATTCGATTGACTACATTGCAATATTGTATCGTTTGTTTGTTTTAACTTTGCAAGAATTTTATCTATTTCTTCAACTATACCAAATAGCTCCTCTTCAGTTTCCATAGGGAATTGCGTCATTAAAAATGAGCAAACATTTGGTTGACGCAAGAAATCGGTGGTTACGTCACTCAACCTTTCAAGTATGAAAACAATCGGTGGCTGTAATGTCATATCTGGCACTTTCCATTGGGTTTTACCTTCTCTCAAGATATCATCTCCTTTTACTTTGTCTATGTCTTCCTTTTCATCCAATTTTTCTTCATTGTTTCTCTCCCCATGCTTGTCTGTCTCTAATAGTCTGTTACTAATAAACTTGATCATTTTCCAAAATACAGTCCAATTCCATCCTGAATTAGTCATTAAGAGTGTTTGACATGTCTGCACAAATTCTTCGGTTCCCATCATCTCCTTTACATCTCTAATAGCGTATTCTATTTCATTCAAGTCTTCTCTCAATCCTGAATAGGTAAGATCAAGATTGGTTGAATTTGCCCAGTTATGGTTTATTGAGATGGTATCACCAATATTCTCTGTTTGATGATACCAGCCTGAAGGTACAAATAGAGTTTCCCCTGCATGTTGATAGATGACGAAGCGCTTTGCTTTGGAAAAGTTGGGAAATTTGGTATTATCCACTGAACGGATATCATAGACTTTGTTGTTTAGGGAGTCTTTGAAAAATTCTTCTTGGTGAGGTGGAAAGAGTGTCCATTTTTTTATCCCGCAAATGTTAGATGACCAGGAATTCGATCTTATTATAACAAAAGACGAGAGAAAAAATGAGTATACGTGTGTGTGGAAATTGAAATTTTTGGGAATGCATGACAATTAGAGAATCTGTAACAGACGGATATCTGACTGCCATCCTAGTAATTGCGCAAAGGATTACCTGTATACATCGCAATGGAATGGCGAAAACGTTGAATCTCCACCCTGCATAATAAGAATTATTAAATGGAGAAAGGGACTTGCCATGATCGAGACATTCTTTTCGCATACCAACATTCCTTGCAAAACAAAGAAGCAAAAAGGACAGCATACCATGTATACAAATCGATAATCATCATCAGTCTCATGACTCCAAAACTCATTGATCCAATCGTCTTGGTTATAATTATTAAATATTTTAGCTTTTTCTCGTGTCTCTAAATGGGACTTTGACATACCCGACGCACCTTGAAACATCTCCGGCGTGTCATATGCAGAATACTCGGGAAATGCTTTTACAAAATGCCAGTCTTTCAAGTATAGCAACCCATCGTCATGTGCACGATCGTCATCAGCACCAACCATGGCAATCGTTTCCTGGTTAGTGCCTCGACGTTGAAGTGAAGTCTTCTCCCATATGTCAATAAATTCACAAAACTTCATCTGAACTCTTGGCTGGTCTGTGAAATATCGCAGCGAGCAATCGGCTACCGATACTTGCGCATCGCCAAACCGTTGACGAAGGTAAGCAAAATTTGGCACCGCTTCTTGGAATTCTCGGCAAATTCTATGCACATTTTCGTTACGATTCGTATCATGGTTACTATCGTCAATCTTGATCAGATTGTCCTTGTCGGTTTTTTTGCATTGCTTTTGCCGATTTTCGATGATAGTTATCCATTCTTGTCGTGCCTTCCAGTTTTCGGTTAGAGCAGATCCAATGAGTACTGGTATATTTGGATACAGATATAATCTAAAAAAATCTTCGTATATGGGCGGTGTATCCAAGTATGGGATATAATCAATGTGTGTATACTCTCGTGGGTAAGGAAGGGACATGGAATAGTGAAACACGATGAATCTGCAATTGTACTACTCCTACGTATCATTTAATTAGTGTATTAATACCTGTAATTTACCGTCGGCGCCCGGATTTGGCCAAAAAAGTCGATCTTGGGTAGATGATGATCACGAGTCTAACGGAACTACTAAACCCGTAGATGGTTGAACAACCCCGATCTGAAATTGATGATTACATAATTCTTAACTGATCTAACAAAAAAAAAAGCTCGTTTCCTTCAATACACCCGTTTACTTAGTAATACTAATTTATTTTCAACTATCGTTATCCGCTCTTGCTCCGTTTTACCATCGACTTTTCTAAATTTATTTTTAGTCTTTCTGCGTTTAGACTTAAACATGTCTAGTTTTACTGTACCAACAAATTTAGTTGCCAGCGAGCTGACCACAACCGAGTTGAATGGAAAGCCTCCACAGGCCTCCTTTCAGGTCAAGGCTGGTCTAGCACAAATGTTAAAGGTATGCGCTGACAGCCTTGGATAATGATATTTTGTAATGCAGTGTTGATTATATTTTGTTATAGGGTGGAGTTATTATGGATGTAGTAAACGTTGAACAAGCAAGAATAGCCGAAGAGGCAGGCGCCGCGGCTGTTATGGCCTTGGAACGTGTGCCAGCAGATATCAGGCGAAACGGTATATAATATGGACAAGTGATCTGTCGATTAGAATTGCTTGAATATCGATTAATTTCGTTATTCGTACCCATTCAGGTGGCGTTTCCCGCATGTCTGATCCAAAGATGATCAAGGAAATCAAAGCAGCGGTTACAATTCCCGTAATGGCTAAGGCACGAATTGGACATTTTGTTGAAGCTCAGGCAAGTGTATTCATAATGGATTCGGTAGTGTACGTCAGCATTCATTCCAAAATCAACTCTCAACTCTATTTTCAAGATCCTCGAAGCTTTGGGAGTCGACTATATAGACGAATCGGAAGTCTTGACACCAGCTGATGAACAACATCATATCAACAAACACAATTTCAAAATACCCTTTGTTTGTGGAGCTCGTAATCTCGGTGAAGCGCTTCGACGTATATCCGAGGGTGCCGCTATGATACGTACAAAAGGCGAGGCTGGAACAGGAAATATAGTCGAGGCAGTGCGCCATATGCGCACGATAACTTCACAGATTAAACGTGCTTCGGCAATGAATGAGGATGAGTTGTTTACTTACGCGAAGGAATTGGGTGCACCATATGATTTGTTGAAGCGTACCGCCAAATTAGGGCGCTTACCAGTTGTTAATTTCTCGGCCGGTGGGATTGCTACGTGAGTACTTACGTATAGTTGAACGTTCGTTCGTTCTAGGGCAGATCAAGTCCGTCATGACATTTCTTAATGTCTGAATATTGAATGAGCAAGCTCGTTTTTTCTCTCACACATTTGATCTCTTCTCATATCTATAGTCCTGCAGATGCAGCGATGATGATGCAACTGGGATGTGATGGAGTATTCGTTGGAAGTGGTATCTTTAAATCTGGCGATCCGGCAAAAAGAGCAGAAGCCATTGTGCAGGCGGTAACTCATTATAATGATCCAGAAGTACTAGCTAGAGTATCGGAAGATCTCGGAGAAGCAATGGTAGGTGTGAATGTGCCGCGACCATAATACAACCTTATTGCAAGTGACACATACCATTCTGTACTTGCTAATGTTATTTTGCTTGTACGTGAATATGATTTTAGGTTGGAATAAATATTGATTCGTTACCCGAGACAGAGCTTATGGCCAAGAGAGGCTGGTGAATGATCGGAAAGGTCAAGTCGCGATGGACGCTTATAAACTATAATGTGTAGCAAAAATTGACAGTGACGTTTCCAGTACGTGAAAAGATGAACAGTGTTCAACGAAACTCCTGAGTAACGAGAATGTCTTCTCGCGAGAGTCCAATAGCTGAACTTGCTGGATTAATAAAAAAGGTGACATACTAATTCGGAATATATCAAATATTATGTTGTTATGTCTCGACTCTTTGCTATAAATGTACGTAGTTCTTGTTCGCGCGTCCAAGTCACAACTAGGATTGGCAAATTAAATTTACTCTTAAATTGGAATTCTCACCATAGAAATTGGTTTAATTGATTGTTTTGAACCCGCGGACTTGCGGTGCTTTTTGTACTATTCGAGTAAACATCATGCCCGTAACTGAAGTTCCGGTTCAAAAACCTCTGTTCTTTGCTTCTACTGAATCATTACGATATCGCAAAACCCAACCAAAATGTCGAATATTGGGGCTCGATTTTGCATCGATAGTCTAAATTATAATGTGCAATTCTTGACAGTTGGAATCCCTAATCATTAAAACTTGTACTCTCAAATTTGGAGGACTGGATCGTATACAATATATAGCTCTTACCTCTGCATATTTCCAAGTGACATGATCTCGCTATTCATAATCCCTCCCAATAAAAACACGCTTGAGAAATCTTGATTAACGCTGTATCGTCATGTAATTACATAGGAAAAAAAATTATAGTCATTTTGGAATGCTCCATTAATTTCTTCATACGGTTCATATGCGCGTGTCTTGCGCTGAAACGCGTATTTACAAGTAAACATCTAGCGCTTGCAGCAGAGAATAATTAAGCAGACGAAAAGATTTCTTCACGTACTGAATATGACTATCATTTCTCGAGCGATTAAACTTGATTAATAGTATCGAAGTTAGAATATTAAGTATAACCGCAATAACCTACTTAGGCTCTCATTTGTGAGCCAACAGTTAGTGAATTCACTCAGTTGTAAAATAATTCTATTTATAGAAATACATGAGAATGTTATTGGTTGTTCGAGCATTTTCTAATACTTACATTACTATTGGTTGAAATAAAATGTTGACAGCCAGGTGGGTGCAGAAGCATTGTAAACTTGAATAAACATCCTCTTCAAGATTGATTTACTAGAATCCTTCCTCCGTGACAGATGTTATCAACAGCATAAATCATGACGTGCATTTAGGGATAAGCAACTGCAAATAACACCGATTCAGTGGATTTTCTCAATCTGTATCGACAGCGTATAAACAACGCCAACGATAGCAACTCAAAAGTTGTCTCTTATATTTTTGGATGGGATCTAAAAAGTATTTATCACACAACTTTTTTGCAAAAACCAAGCTGCTCAAGTCTTAGTAACGTTAGGAGCCAGCTCTCCAACGACGTGGTTTGTGAGGATAAAATAGTTAGACTTTTAACCTATCTATTATCTCGCTTGTGTAGCTAATTCTCGCTCAAAAAACAGCATGCGTGGTTATGATTGCAGTAATACGAATATAGAAGAAGAAAGGTTGCAATTTTTGCTGCAATGGACATATCAGATATTATAAGTAGGATCTTATAGATAATATTCATGACATTCTCGATTGTGATATATCAGCAGCTTAGACTGAATAGACATTTTTGAGATATATTGCTCAAATGTCAAACCCATCGGGCGATATGACATAATTATAATTATATTATTCAATATAATCTCGCTCAGATAACGAAGCATATAATAGCTACTAAGAATAGTTCACAGAAATGCTTCGAGGAAAATACAAATATATGATATCTCTTCTCCTGTAATGTGGCTAGATGTAGGAACATAGTCAGCAGAATACATGAGATCAATACTTTTTTTTCGCACATGTCAATAACTTTATTGCAACGCTTTTTTGAAAATTCTCAATAAAATTTAATACTGTGTGTGTTCTTGTTTCAAAAAGTGGTATGTTTTGGCGTTGGGTTGTTTCTTTTTCAAGCGGAGATTTATAAAGTGAACCGAATTAAACGCGTGAAATGTGTAAACAAGCTTTTTACTGTATTTCGACTTATGTGATACAAAGTCGGGGAACCGCACACAATGAACATCGAATAGCATCACCTCCCTCTCGTTTTTATAAGCACTTTTGAATCGTGTAATTATTTCATTCGTCGTTGTGACTGCGGATAGCATGCAACTGATGACGCAAATATTTATAGATCTGAAAATGAAGTGATTTACGTCATAAAGTGTTTTTTCATCTGTTAATAGAATTTAGACACAATAATTTTCAAATTACAAATTATTATTCATATCAATTGATAGTATAATTGAAAATCCCTTGCTTAGCGAATATCATTTTACTTAAACATTGTGGATAAAAACGCCAATTACAAAGTCCTGTAGAAAAGAAAGCGAACGTAAGCAATTACTTCCAGATTTCAAGGCTCTAACAACTGCAGAATTAAGGGCGAGTAATATTTGCAATCTTACCATAAAAGTAAGAGCATCAAGATTTCCTTTTCTATAGCCACGTTTGCGCTTACAAACCACTGTCTAACTCAACATCTTCTTTTGTTGTCATATCCATTGAGGAATCTGCATACCTTAACCTTAGGTGAAATCAAACTAGCATAGATTTCATCGATATTTCTCTTTTACTTTGGGTAAGTTTTTTAATCTATACTTGGGCAATCCTATTCTTGTAAGCATTTATATCTGCTTCAAAAAATTAATTAATAGAGTGTCTTAGTGGTATTACTGTAGGCTTCCACTGGTACTGGTAACCTGCTGACTTTTGACTAATTCTACTTTCTCATGCTTCATTAAACTCCAGGGAATAAGAGCTTTATGAGCCAGAGGAATTTTTCTTCTTCATCTATAATTAGTTGATTTGCTGCCAACCATTTGATGGCTTGCAGAAGTTATAGAGTGTTGTTGTACCGAAATTGTTAATTTATTCAAGGTCGTTGTTGCTGAGAGCATGACTCTGTGCAATGTACATACACTTGTCACGGACACCGTGATTAAATAAGTTGTTATTTCTAGTTTTGATCGCCAGAATGATGATGAAATCGTCGATCTGATCGTCATTCGAGATCGTGCAATTGTATTATTGTTCAATTAACCCGTTGACACAAATACGATCTCATCGTCAAAAGTCGGGTGATGACGCAGACGTAATTTTTCGCGTAATGAACACAAAATTTTGATGGCGCAACCATCATCTGATCTGACGACGCACAAGATCTGATTGAGTGATCCAACATAATCTCTAGGTTATAGGTAATTAGATAAAGTAGGTAACGTACTAGAATAACAACAATAATAAGATGCACCTATTCAAAGTCAAAAAAATTGATTCAATTGCAACATTATGTATGACAAATATATTTGTGTTTGTATCTAACATTCACACAAAGAGGTCCCATCGGGTTTCGAGCGCGAAAAAAATCCGTGTCCGATTGCAATCAAGGGAAATACCATATTACTAATCGGCTTTGTGCTTACGTCATCAAATTCAGGATCGATATAAGACCATGTACTGACTTTTAAACTTTGCCCATAAATCACGGACGAACCCTCTCTCTCCTTTCCCATTTGATAAAGGCCAAAGGTTTGTTGTTCTCTGTACTGTTACTTTATGTTTGAAGCTTTTTTTTTGCTTGTTCGTTAAGAGATTTAGTAGCCGTAGTCACCCTTGCAAATCAGCACACTTCTCTGTAAATATTTTTGGGCATGGAAAAAGAATAAAATTTATTTTGGGGAATTCTTTGTCATTCTGTTGGCACTGTTTATTCTGAAAGCGCGCTAGGACGCTGAGTTTTTCTGTACCGACAGTCTGTATAACTATAAATCTGTTTAAACCATTCTAACCACAATTTTGGCTCCTTATTCAATCAACTCGTAAGCCTCTGTTTGCATACTTAGCCCAGTAGCGTCGTAGAACCTCGTAATGGAGGTAAACGATCTTTCAAGTCATCTGCTTTTATAATTCATTATTATCCGTGAAGTTCATGAAGCAAAAAGGACGCGTTTACATTTTGTTGCCATTTAAACGTACCGTCAGAGTATATTAGACTTCTCGCAGGATCTTGACGTTGAGAAGCTAGATGCTGTCGTAAAAACGTTTTATACGGGGATTGGGCAGGAGGTTTGATCAGGATCGAATTTGTATGAATGTCTCGTCGCTGCTGTGTTGCTCTGATGTTGAACTTACTTGATTACTTGTTCCGATATATGGATCTTCTTCAGCAACATATGGCCCAGCAAGTCCTCACACAATTCCAAGAGAACGCTGATGCTTGGTTAAGAGTTGACTCTATTCTCTCCCAGTCAAAATTCCAACATACAAAAGTATACTATTTACATTTTTGAATGACATTGCTAACTGGAATCACTGGCATTCATACTGAAAAAGTCTTTCTTTTTGCATTGTATTAGTTTCTTGCTCTTCAAATCTTGGAAAAACTCATCTCGACACGATGGAAGATCCTTCCGGCGGAACAAAGAATGGGTATGTGATTTGCGTGCGTCGCTGTTGTTTCAAGGACTGGCTTTAGATTGTTTTTGACGCGTTTGATATATTGATACTTTTTTCAGGAATTCGTAACTTTATTGTGAACATTATAATTGATACCTCTGAAAACGAGAAAACTTTACGATCGGAAAAAACTTACCTCAACAAGTTGAACTTAATATTAGTACAGGCAGGTCATCGATCTTTCCCCAGTTGTAAACATGCGTCATCTTACTGATTGTCAACCGTGTGTCTTTATTACAGATCCTAAAGCAAGAATGGCCACACAATTGGCCACAATTTATTCCTGAGATTGTAAATACCGGCAGAGCGAACCTAAACATCTGCGAGAATAACATGGCCATTCTCAAACTATTAAGGTACATTGCAGTCTTCTTTACAAAGTTTTATCCCAATTAATTTATTATAACAAGTACTGTTATTATCAGCGAGGAGATATTCGATTATTCAGCAGAACAGATGACTCAAGATAAAACAACAAATCTAAAGACTCAGATGTGCAATGAATTTTCCAAAGTCTTTGAATTGTGTAACGAAGTCTTGGAAAAGGCGCAACAACCGAGTCTCATAAGGGCTACGCTTGAGACACTTTTGCGATTTTTAAATTGGATTCCATTGGGATATATATTCGAGACCAATATTATTGAAAATCTGCGCACAAGGGTATTTCAATTTTTTATGTTTTCTCATCAACCTCACTATTGGTTTGCTCTAAACATTGTCCATTTTGTAGTTTTTACAAACGACGGAATTTCGAAATGTGGCGTTGAAATGTTTGACCGAGATTGGTGCGCTGAAAGTCGGCAGCGAATACGATAACAAGTTCATCGTACTATTCAATATGGTCGTTGCGTCAGTCTCGGTGATGATTCCGATGAATACAGGTGATGATGCTTCACAAGCTTATATTGCAGTATTGCACGGTTGATTTCAATCATATTTAATAATGTATAATATATGCATAGACATTTCTACCGTGTATCAACAAAGTTCTAATGATGAACAAGAGTTTATTCAAAACTTGGCACTGTTCTTTACGAGTTTTCTTGGCGTACATCTCAAGGTAAGATGAAACGTTGTCATTACATTGATCGACAGTGTATATTGTTAACTGGATATTTAAATGGTCTGTAGTTATTGGAAAATGACGCAAACCGAGAAGTCTTAAATATAGCCCATTGGTATTTAATAAAAATCACGCAAGTAGAAGAACGGGAGATTTTCAAAGTCTGTTTAGAGTATTGGACAAAGATGGTAAGATTTCTTCTTGTAGTGAAACAATTGGATTAAATATTCGAACAGTATCCAACTGTCGCTTGATATTGTTACATAGGTCGGGGAACTGTTTGAGGAAATAAGAAACTTGCCTGTTCTTGATATGCCTCTTCTGTCACTATCCTCGACTGCAAGTTCGGCACCATCTGCACTAGCTAATATTCCACTTCGCAAACACTACTACTCGGACATCTTGACGAATCTTCGTGTAGTGATGATAGATCGTATGGTGAAACCAGAAGAGGTAAGTGGTCGAGTATTTTAGTCATTGGGCCACCTGTAATATATGGGATTCATATCTGATCGTTGAATATTGGAAAAGGTTCTCGTCGTGGAAAATGACGAAGGCGAAGTAGTCCGCGAGTTTATGAAGGACTGCGATACCATCATGCTTTATAAGAGTATGCGCGAATGCTTAGTATATCTTACCCACTTAGACGTCCATAATACCGAAATCATTATGACAGAGAAACTAAACAGACAGGTCTGTTCATGTGTGCGTGCATTTTTTTCCATACTTGCTTATTTAAATGTCTTTTCCTTGTATAGGTTGACGGATCAGAATGGTCATGGAATAACTTGAATAAACTCTGTTGGGCTATTGGATCTATATCCGGCGCGATGAGTAAATATATATTTTTATTAACAATCCTTTTGATTGTATTATGTCCAGTCTGTAATTTTTCCAATACTTGTTGCAGATGAGGATACGGAGAAACGATTCTTGGTGACTGTCATCAAAGAACTTTTGGGTCTTTGCGAGGCTAAGCGGGGAAAAGACAACAAAGCCATAGTGGCATCCAACATTATGTACATCGTTGGACAGTATCCTCGGTTCCTCAAGGCTCATTGGAAGTTCCTTAAGACTGTTGTTAACAAATTATTCGAATTCATGCATGAGACACACGAAGGTAACTAGTATTCATCAGTCACAATATTGCTGTCTACATACCACTTACGTGCACGAGTTACATTGTTACTGTCTATTAGGTGTACAGGATATGGCATGCGATACTTTCATGAAGATAGCCCAGAAATGTCGACGTCAATTCGTTCAAGTGCAACAAGGCGAACACTCTGCGTTTGTCGAAGAAATTATTCTCAGCGTAGACAAGATTACGATGGATCTGTCTCATCAACAGGTGATTGTCGCATTTTTGGGTTTATCCCGTAGGCGTGAATTAAGACTTTGGTCAGATGGCTCATTATTAGCTGACTGCAGGTACAAACTTTCTATGAAGCCGTTGGTTATATGATTGCTTCCCAAACGAATAAGAACACGCAAGAAAAGTTGATCATAAAATTCTTTGAACCACCGAATTATGTTGTAAGTCTCCACGTAATCAGCAATTATTTTGGCTATTACTCCATGTACTTACGAATTACGTTTCTTGAATACAGTGGGACCAAATAATAGACGAAATCTCTCGCAACGTGGAAATACTTAATCGAGCAGAGACAATCAAGTCTCTTGGTCACGTCCTCAAAGTTAATGTTGCGGCATGCAGCTCTATTGGTTCGGGGTATCAAGTACAGCTTGCAAGAAATTATGTTGCCCTTTTACGTCTTTATGAATGTGTCAGTGGAATGGTGTCAGCGAGTGTAGCGAAAGATGGTTCGAATGATTTTATGTATGCATTCAGCATAAATATCATCGACAACACGGCTATTGCTAATCATGTTTATATCGACTATAGGTAGCATTGCAACAAGAACGCCCCGAATAAGAGGTTTTCGTACTATTAAAAAAGAGACACTGAAGCTGATGGAAAGCTATATTTTAAAAGCAGAGGATTTAACTCAAGTATCACAACATTTAATACCGCCATTGCTCGAGGCCGTTCTTGTTGACTATAGTAAAAACGTTGAACAAGCCCGAGATGCAGAGGTCCTCAGTGTGATGGCTACGATAATCACTCGTTTAGGGGTAAGCATTTTCCAACACTTCTTCCGACAATAAGAATTTCCAATTTACTAATTTCTTATTATATTGCATAGGGACTGATTACTGCCGAAGTTCCTGCAATACTGAACGCTGTGTTCGAACCTACTCTAAACATGATTAATAAGGACCTTTCGGAATACCCGGATCATCGTGTTGGGTTCTTTAAACTTATACGTGCCATAAATCAATTCTGTTTCCCAGGTAATAAATACAAAAACTTGTATTGAACCATTTTACATTATACACTGATATTCTCTCCTTTGTAGCTCTTTTGACTATTCCACCGGCACAGTTCAAACTCATTATTGATAGTATCGTGTGGGCGTTCAAGCATACAATGCGGGAAATAGCCGATGTTGGTCTAAATATCTGTCTTGAGCTTATAGATAACATTGCTCGGTCAGATGCCAATGTTGCAAATTTCTTCTATCAACAATACTTATTGAACCTCGTGCAAGATGTGTTTTTCGTCCTCACCGATACGGATCACAAGAGCGGTATGGTTTATTCTGAATAGCTATAAGGGTTACACCTTATTCATGGCTAATGCTCTTAAATTTACGCCAGGCTTCAAGTATCAGGCTATGGTTCTCGCGCGGATTTTCCAAATTGTTGAATCGGGAGCTGTGCAAGCACCTCTGTTCAACCCAGCAGAAATTGGGGATCCATCAATGACAAACCAAAGGTTCCTCCGAGAGTATGTCATGACGTTGCTAAGGAATGCTTTCCCACATTTACAAACGTCTGTATCGATGTATTGTGCATTTGAAATTGTTTCAATCCGAAAGCTAACGAGTCTGTGTGTCTTTTACATCTATACGTATAGTAATCAAATCACGGTCTTTGTTAATGGATTGTTTGCTCTCAACCAAGACTTTCTCAAGTTCAAACTTCATCTCAGAGATTTCCTCATCCAGCTTAAAGAGTTCGCAGAAGACAATGCGGATCTATACATTGATGAGCGAGAAGCGGAGAGTGAACGACAGAAACAGGCAGATATAGCAAATGCTCTCAAAGTTCCTGGACTGGTGAAACCGGCTGACTTGCCAATGGAAGAAGAATAAAGAATAAGTTATATATATAGAAAGGGAGTAATTGGAGGTTATTATATTTAGATATGGTAGCTAGCGGGTTTATAAGATTTTAAGGAACATTTTCAGGGTGGAAATTGAGAGGGTGAAATCTGAGCGATATTAAATGTATTATGAGCTTGAGTATCTGAGAGCACACTCGATTATTAAAGGGAGACTTGGGTGTTCTTAAACGTTTCCTTGTATTATCAATTCTCTGAGTTTATACGAAACGAATAATTTACTCCCATATTTGAATATTCGATATTTAATATTAATTAATTAATTAACGTTACCATTATTTTGGGATTCATTTTAAACGCTAACCTTCTAAGTTAAGATGTGCATAAAATCTACACTCTACACTATTGGCTCATCAACATGGTGGTAGTCATTTCTTATCCGTTTTAACAGGGTAAAGGAATTGGCTTTGCTGTTACCCATAACAGGTATGAATGATACGAATGTTGAAATAAGGAATTCTAGAAAAAAAAATTACGCATGGAACCAAACTACTCGCAAAATCGTCCTTTGATCGGATTACTCATAGAAATTGATAACGTTTGATTTCATGAATAGATTCTCTGTTTCCGCTGCCGCTGGGGGACGTGTTCAGTTTGCTTATAGGACTATTTTATTGTTATGTTAATGGTTTTTTTTACATATCTAACGATATGGAAGACAGGCGTGAGATATATTTTTGGAGAGTATGTTATCATACGGTAATGGTTTTGTGTGTCACTAGTCGATGATATAATATCGTATTTTGGGTTATTATTTGGAAAGTAAAAGTGTGACGTATTGATTGGGTATATGTTTTGGTTTTCGTATTACTAGATTACAGTATTATTATCGTATTAATGTGGGAATTTTTTATCATTGCAGTAATGATAGGAAGTTTGTTCGTTGCCATATGTTTATGCGTGGGTAAATGAAGATTGCGAATTGTTTTTCGGAAGTCAATGTTAACGATTCTTTGGGAAAGAAAGCACATGTTATTTTATATTTTATGATTGCAAATAATATATACATGTAGTGAATGGACGAGATAACAGGGTGGTGGGAATGAAAATATTACTGCGATTGATTGATAGTCTGTGGATTTTTGTTCCAAGCGTTCATATTCTCGAAGGACTGCTTTGTCGATGGAAAAGGCATTTCTGTTTAAGCAAGGTGCACGGTTAATGCAGTATACCAAGTATGCTTGACCGGGAGCGAAAAATTGGTCGTCCAAAAATAGAGATATACTTGGTAACGTCGATCTTGACGGTGAGCGCAAAGCAATTCTGCAAAGGGAATTGTTTGCGGGAAGCGTTCATGCCGTTAACGGTAAAATACGACGTTTTTTGGGAATAGAACTGTATGTTTTTGAAATTTGCCGTAATATGGATTGATCGTCTATTTTGGGAAAATGTAATGATGATGTAATGTGTGTCTAGTTATTATTTATTTATCCATGAAATAAGAATAAAAAGCGCCTACAAACAAACATAAATGCAGAAGTACGCTACGTCGTAAATCGCGGCAAGGGTAAATACAGCGTGTTACAAAAGTTTTTGCAAAAAATTTGGCATAACAAAAATACGCGTAGCTCTTCCAATTTTGTATCAAATCGCGTCACGTAAAATGCATAATAAACACAAACATTTGTACTATAAATTGACATGTTTGTATACCATATTGCTTATGTATTATAAACAATTCTAATTAAACATGTCTCCAGTATCAGAGAAAGAACTACACCGTCAAGTTTTGGAACCAAGGAGTGCGTACTGCCAAAGAGCTTCATAATCTCACAAATATATCACTTCGAACAATATATTATAATGTTAAAAAATTAGAAAAAAAAAAGTAACAACACACCTGACAATAAAAGTGGCCGACCAAAGAAGATTACTGCGGCAGGTTCGAGAATACTAGGTCAACAAATTCGACGCAATTCTTCAAACTCTCTCAGAACATTGGCAACTAGACTGTCAAAAGAAGGTATCGAAGCATCGTATGTGACTGTCTCAAGGCATCTGAAAAGTATTGGTTATAAAAAAAGTCTTCCAGTCGCAACACCAATGCTTACCCCAGACAATAAGAAAAGACGTGTTGAATGGGCCAAAAAGCACCTTAACGATAACTGGAAGAAAACACTATTTACGGATGAGACAGCCTTTCAGCTCTTCCGTAACACATAAAACGCTGGCATAAAGGCGAAAGACCAGTCCGCCCTCTTCCGAAAAATCGAACAAAAATTCTTGCATGGGGTGGATTTTATATAGGCGGTAAAACCAATTTGTTTTGTTTTTTTCGAAATATGGATGCCGCATTCTATGTAGAAATACTTCAAAAACATATTCCAGAGGTTTATCAAATGATGGGAAATAAATGGCGGCTCCAACAAGATAACATACCAGCCGCCTAGCCAAATCATTCCTTCAGGAAAATGTTCCTGAAGTTATTGACTGGCCAAGTAACAGTCCTGTCCTCAACCCCATTGAAAACCTCTGGCCTATTGTTAAGAATAAAGTGAAAAAAAGAATGCCCCAAAACCGTGGTGAATTAGAGCTTTATGGTTGAGGAATGGAATGCCATTCCTGATGATGTCTTAAGAAATTTAGTGAAAGAGATGTGAAGCAACTATTGAAAAAAATGGTGAACAAATCTCATTTTAATTAATATGGTGCAAAAGTCATCTATACTCGACAATCACGTGATTTGTTTCAATTTTAATTGACCAATAATATTGTAATATGATAAGCAAATCAAACAAGCTTTTCTTCAAAAAGCTATAATAATAATATATTTAGTTTTGATCTACCAATTTTAACCAATTATATGCTACTAATATGATCATGTGGTTGAACTAACATAAGAACTTTAAATCCCTAAAACTTTTCACAAAAAAATCTAATCAAAAATCTAACCAGTAACTTGTAGAGCTTGTTATGAAGAACAAAGTTGTCAGTCAGATTTTTGATATCTCATCTGTGTAAGAAGTTGAAGACTTTAAAAATGCCATCACTTGCACCATATTTAGTTCGATCTACCAATTTAACCAATTATATGCTACTCACATGATCATGTGATTGTTTCAATTTTGAATTAACACAAAAACTTTAAATCCCTAAACCTTTTCACAAAAAATCTAATCAAAAATCTGATGTAGAGCTTGTTATGAAGAACAAAGTTACCAGTTGGATTTTTAATTTCTCATATGTGTAAGAAGTTGAAAGATTTAAAATTGCTTTATTTTTTCATCACGTGATTGTCAGGTATAGATGACTTGCACCATAACAATAAAAACTATAACTTTTTAACTTTAAAACAAGGTATCTTGCATATTACTCAGAGCCATAGTGATAAATATTAAATTTGCAAAAACTTTTTTTTTTGCTAGCTTCCTTATTAAGTTTAGTCAAGTTCCATTAACTTGTGTTACGAAAACTTATTATCCAATAGTCTGCACCAATTAATCTTTCATGTTTATTTACCCAAACATGTTCTCAGCACATGTTCACGTCACCTGATATATCCTGTGACCCAGCTACAGTTTTAGCCAAGCCATTGGTTTGATTTTTTTCCAACCCCATCACCTCAACTACAATGCGACTTTTCCTCAATCCTACTCTTTCATCCCCCGTCATATAACTTCCTCAATCCTACTCTTTTATTTGCTGATCATGGATAATAGCACTGGCATGACACTTAACAGTAGGCATAATACCTGGTGCACATTTTTTTTACAAAGAAAGCTTGCTGCCTTTGGAACATACACCTCTCTTTGTGAGAGTGCCAACCTTCTGCCACTTAACACATGAGTGTGCAGTCACACTTTTTATGTGAGAGAGCCATTGCCACCCTCTGAAAGGAGGGCCACCATCTGACACATGGATGTGTCAGCCACCCTTCAGTTCTCTGAAGTGCATACCTCTTGTCTGTGAATGAGCATAACATGTATCTTGTTGGCCTGCCCTTCCATTTTGTGTGAAGGGAGTTGCTTACTTCATTGTTTCTATATTTTCTGACAGTCTTCTACTACTGTATTTGTAGGTTTGCATGAGTTACCTGCTTATAAAAAGCGAGTTTGCTGTGGCAAGCCTGAGTTGTCAGTTTTTTTAATGGGTACTGTTGAAGGGATAAAGCATGATGATATTGAAGCATGGTTATGGAAATTGACATTTATTCCCTTTGAGCATATTTAAAAAAAACAAGTCAAAGGGTGAGAAATTTTGTTGGCAGATTCTTCGTGTTTATGCCCAGTAAATTTAACCAATCTTCAAAACCTCTAGATAACCAATAAAGGACTCGAAAACTCAAAACCTCTAGATATGGCCATATCCACTTTGTGACACACAATGATGCATCCAGATTCTACAATGTAATAGAAGGTTGGACATTCACAGGACCATTTGACTGTGGAACAGTCTGATTTTCTGCAGCTATGTATTTCAAGTCTGGAAGGAAAGTCAACTATGAGATTGTAGGTTATTCATTTGTCAGACTAACCAAAGTGTATCATAAAATATACTCTAATCATTTGTTTCTTTATCAAGCATAAAAGAATAAGAGTAGATGAACCTATCAAACCTATCGTACCATGTCAATATGTGCTGCAAGAGAGCCAAGGGTTTGTGGCAGCCTAATTACCTCCATTGTCTAATATTGCACACACACAACTAAATCTCTTTCAATAGGCTCTACCTCATTACTATTCACACACCAGGCGTCAAAAAAAAAGAATTGTATAAGCATTGAAGTTGATGATGATCAAAAGGTCACCTGACATCAATGAAAATGAAAATGGAGCCCAAATATTTAACAACTTGCCGAAAAAATTTGAATGCATCATTGGTCTGCCAAAAAGGTATGTTGCAGTATCAATGAATGACTTCTTGATATACACCATTCATGACAGTTTTCTAAAATAGAATCAACGTGGATCATCTGGTGAAAGTCACTGTTGCACACGGAGTGACGACGGCCAAATTCCAATTACTAGCAAAGAAAACTATCCGGATCGTTTGAAAGGAAAAAAAACTCGCACATATGATTATCGCTCCTTAATAAGTAATGAACACTGATCAAGATTTTTGTTACAGAATAATAATAATTTATTGATAAAGTCTTATAAAAATCGTAAATTACTCTTGCTTATTTGTTCCTGGACTCTCTAAACAATTGTGGTTATCAACTCTATTATCTGAACTAAGTAGGTATTTTATGTCTGCTAATATATCTAACAGTTCACTTTGCTTTTTGACCTTAGTCCAGAATATTTCTTCTGGACACTTTCACCAAGTTGTTCGAGAAGTGCTTCGATTTTCAGCAAAATCTCTGCTTTGCTCGTATTTTCTTCTTTTTTTGTAATCGGAATTGACCTAAATGAAGAAGGACGGGTTTTGTTAATAAATCATGTACTTTATCAATAAATTTCTGTCGAGCTAGTTTTGCTAAATAAGTGAAAATTTTCAAATGTTCGCTTAATTCATATTCTTCTCCTAGGCTTCGACAAACGGTTCTCATATTCACTGGATTCAAAAATTCAAGTCTTCTCAAGTAAGCTCGAAATCTTTGGCATCGATACATATTTCCCATGTCCTGCACTGTATATTGAATCAACTATGACGACAGTCTTAAAAAGCTTTTCCGGGCTCAAGAGAATATCACTGTCTCGATTGTTGTGAGTCAGAGTTTCAACAAATTTAACAATGACTTGGTTGCGTTTACTCGGCCGTGATATTGTCTATCGAGAACCTATTGTTATCTCGGATTAATGATTTTACATCATCGTATATATACGTTCTTCCTTAGCTATTTTAACGATCGCGCTAACACGTTTGCAGTAATCAGAAAATCGTGAATTCCGTTCAGTAAGAATTTCATTCTTCTTCATAATCTCATTCATATCTTTATAAGCCTTCTGTAGTTGTTTCTTTGGTTTTTCGACTTCAGTGCTCTGATCCTGCTGCATTCGTACAATCTGGTTGTTCTGTTCTGTTATAGACTGAGATTTCTGTCGATTTTCTAACCGAGCAAGCTCGGCTTGAGCGATTTTATCTTTACCATAATCGAGCCGGATCCTTTTACTTCTTGACTGTGATTTATTAAATGCTGATAAAAATGATTAGTAGCAATAATTTGATTGTAGTGTCTTTCACAAATCGCATATTACTTTAATGAAGAATGTAGATTAGCAAGTTCAGTAATATAATTATGGTAGAGTGCAAGCCGCTTAGCTGTTTCCTGGGTGCTCGCATGCCGCCACATTTGTGGTTCTTTCACTTCACATGATCTCAGCCCAACTTCACTATATGCTTCAACTAAAGTCGCAAAAACGCACAGAAGGTCTCTTGCTATTGGCTTTTTATAAACAGACACTGTTCAAAAGATTGTTTGAATACAACTTAGTTAGCGAAATTACGTTCGTCATTTCGTCTTAAGACGCTAGCGCATGCAAAAACTGTAAATTTCACGTCTCATTTACTTTTTCGAAACGGATTGACTATTTTTGATTATTAGCAAATATTGAAAGTAGGGGTCTTTTTCTGTATGTTTGTATGGTTTTCGAATAGGGCAAAGAATGCAGGCGTAAAGAGTGCGTAAGCCAATCAAATTTCAAGAATTGGCTGCAGATCATTCTAGAACACGTTTCCGTTTTCGGTATATTCCCCGACTGTATGAGATCGGGACACCAATTTGCTTATTATTATTATCGTTATGCTGCATCAGAAAAACATTCTCCTACGTAGCAATAGGGAAATTTAAAGTCTGGAATTTGCCTATTCGGTGTGACATAGCAATAGTAGTAGATTGATGTCGTAACATTAATATAATACAGTAATATGAATCAATAATATTAAATACAATTGAAATTATTACAGAAATGACGAACAATGCAGAAGGCGGACACTCAATAATTACCGTACCTAATATAAGCCGGGATTTCTTAGAATAGCAGGAAACACATCAATTAACAGTAAGCTTGTGTAGAAACTTTCTGCGTTATATAAGTGTATTGGTCTTTAATGAGTTAAAACTTATAGAGATAAGACACAAACAGACAGATTTTCATACATTGAGAAATAAAGTGTTTGTTTTACATTTAAAAATAGACATAATTTGAGGAAAATGTGAAGACAAGACTTTCTAAGTGACGACGATGACCTTTTAGTAGAAGGTTTTAACATAGTATGTCATTGCGACTTTTAAATCGACCTTCTATACGCATACCATCTTTTTATGACGTTATGACTTCTTGTTGATTATACAAGTATGTTCATTTCAGAAGAAATGACATGGTATGCCTGGACTACAATGGAAATATGTTCCTGAGATGTAATACACTTGTTGTCATCGCATTTGTTGAATTCTCCGCCACTCCTGCACAACTGAAGTTTACAATAGAAGAGAATAAAATTCTGAAAAGTATTCTTATCTCGACCGGTACGCTCGGAAATGACGTTATAACTTAAATTTAGTTTTAATTCCAGTGTGCTATTGTGAGAATGGATGGCTAATGACTTGATTTGTCTGCAATTCTTTCGCCTAGCTTATAGATATATTCTTACTTATATTATCTACACCCGACGTGTAAGTTTCGGTGCGATTGTCTGTAGTAAATAAAAAGTGTATTATAGAATTTGGCTGCATTAAAAGCATAAAAATTTTTGACAAACAGCAAGAAGCCAATAGTTGTAAACCATAATATTACCTTTTCTTTGTTCTTTTAATAACGATCAGCTCTTCCCCATCATCACTTGCTCTGTCAAATTATTTCTCCCTTCCAACTATATATCATTCTCAGCGTGTACGCTTCGGATTCAGTCATGTTATCTTCCTCCCTCAATTTCGGCTCCAGTTTCTGCTTCTTCTTTAGCTTCCTCTTCTTCAGGCGTAGATATTACATTACATTCATCAATGATATTATTCGCTACACTAGCTTTAGCACAATGAAAATCCTACTCGATTGGTGTACACAGAATGTGGGGGATGTTTAGCACGTGGTATACAGGGGACGTGATGTGAAAAAAAAAAATTTTTTTTTTAGTAAAATTACGCGCCGAAAACAACGACTGCAAATACTTATTCTCAATCATATACACTATGGTTCGACAAGACGGGAATGGCATAGCAAATCAAAAAGAGTGGGATCCCAGTAAGGCTAAATCCTACTTGACAAAATACGAATTTGCGGACGGTCTATCCGCAGAAGAATTGTTTGACTTGCGCAAAAGTGGTGGGCTAACATACAACGATTTTCTTGTATTGCCCGGTTATATCGACTTTCCTGCCTCGGAGGTCGAATTGGAATCCAAAATAACAAGAAACATTACACTAAAAACACCGTTTATGAGTTCTCCTATGGACACCGTAACAGAGTCAGAAATGGCTATTAATATTGCTGTAAGTATACAGGAGCAATTAAGCGGCATAGCTATTGAAGGCATATTATGTACGATGAATATAATACTTGTATTTATTCGTCCCACCAATTTTATAAGTAATTGCCTTGAACTTGACTTTCACATAATAGTTACTTGGAGGAATTGGCGTAATTCATTATAATTGCTCAGCAGAAGAACAGGCAGAAATGGTTCGGAAAGTGAAAAAGTTTGAAAATGGCTTTATCACAGATCCTGTTTGTCTGACGCCGAACCATACCGTGGCCGATGTACACAAAATCAAACAGACACATGGATACAGCGGGATTCCAATCACAGGTAAGTCCGGACGTTGGAGAGGAAAAAGAAGCGGTGGTTAGAGAGATTGGGAAAGGCTGATCAGCCAAGGAATGAATACCATCTATAGCAAGCACAATGGCAACGCATTTTTGCAGAAATGATGATTTAATTGTCTAATAACTTTCGTTCTTCCGAAATATTAAGTTAATATGTGGAGAATACGACTATATCTGAATCTATTATATGGCTTATATGCTAGAGTATTTTTATTTAATACCATCTAACACCTATTAAACCCCTGTCGACGTAGAAAACGGCAAACTACATAGTAAGCTTCTAGGCATTGTCACAGCTCGTGACATTCAATTCGTAGAAGATCACACCACATTACTCAAAAGCGTAATGACTGTCGATGTTACTTGTGCCCATGAAGGTGTGACTCTGGAAAAGGCTAACCACATCCTTCGTCAAAGCAAAAAAGGCAAACTTCCAATAATAAACTCCAAAGGCGAATTAGTCTCTCTCCTTTCTCGCTCTGATCTCCTTAAGAACATCCACTTTCCCCTTGCCTCCAAATCTCCCGACAGCAAACAGCTGATTTGTGCTGCTGCCATTGGGACACGACCAGACGATAGAGTGAGGCTAAAGAAATTAGTCGAGGCCGGATTGGATGTCGTGATATTGGACTCTAGTCAGGGAAATTCGCTGTATCAAATTGAAATGATTCAATATATTAAAAAGACATACGGGAATAAATTAGACGTTATAGCAGGAAATGTGGTTACGAGAGAACAAGCAGCGTCTTTGATTGAGGCTGGGGCTGATGCGTTAAGGGTAGGAATGGGAAGTGGAAGCATTTGCATTACTCAAGAGGGTAAGTCAGAAATGTGTGGGCTTGTTTTGTGCGAATTTTAAATTCCAAGATAAAGCCCATCTCCTCACCTTGTGATGCCCCCCCTTTTCCATATATGCTTCTGACAGTTATGGCTGTCGGCCGTCCTCAAGGTACGGCGGTATATCGCGTAGCACAATTCGCCAATCGCTTTGGCATTCCAGTAATCGCTGATGGCGGCATTGGCAACGTTGGCCACATAACTAAAGCGCTCGCTCTCGGCGCTTCAGCTGTGATGATGGGCAGTCTTCTCGCCGGCACGACTGAATCACCTGGCGATTACTTCTATCATGAAGGCAAGCGGTTAAAGAAATATCGTGGTATGGGGTCACTAGATGCCATGGAACGCGGATCCGAGAAAACCGGTAATGCGGCCGAGAAGAGGTACTTTTCCGAGTCTGATGCGGTTAAGGTGGCGCAGGGAGTTGCTGGCGCAGTAGTGGACAAAGGATCAGTTAGAAAGTTTATTCCGTATCTGATCACCGGATTGCAGCACGGTTTGCAAGATATAGGAGTTAAAGATTTGGTACAGTTGAGAGAGGCAGTGGCAACGGGGAAAGTTAGGTTTGAGTTTAGGACTGCAGCCGCGCAGGTCGAAGGAAACGTTCACGGATTGTATACGTAAGTTTCAAGTATGAACGTTGAGTGTATTATCTTCAAATTCTAATTTTGTTGTTTTTTGTTTTATTTCTTAGATATGAGAAAAGATTGTTTTCTTGAGTATGCGGTAGCTATTACTAGTAATAAATAATTCAAAACAAGTATTGCCCGCTCGAATGTAACTTTTTAAAATTATAGCAGATCCATTATCGATTATATAATAATGATATTGTCATCTTAAAGAGAAGACAATTAGACCAATGTCTCGTTTTAAAAGTATTAAGATGCTATGCATGTATGAGAGGAGTTACAGTAGAAAAACATCGTTCCATGGGAAATTAAGTGTCAAATACAAAGATCAGAGTTAAGACATTAAATGCTCACCCTCATAAATGATGAGAACCTTTGTCTATAAATTGCTTTTACTAAGTATGTCGAATATACAGAAATAGTAGAATGATACATATAGATATCACCGATGCGAGTATTAGTGAATCGCGTCGCTTGCGAACGTGTATTCTTCTAATCAGAGTACTAATGCCTGGGAATAAATCTATAAAATAAAAGTAAAATGCGTTTAATATATACAGCGCGAGTCATTTTATAAATTTTTATTCCAACATTTTTACTTTACGTACTTGCTACTCCTACCATGCGTCTATTTGCTTTGGAAAGAATCGAACGCTGTCTACCGATTTCTTCCCTTGTACTATATGCTTGCCTACGATTACACATGCAAAATATATTAGTATGCGTTATATTGATAATACAAAGTCGCTATACTCTTAACGCTAACACCGAACACGCAATTGCCATGTCTCCTATCGGACTACATACTCAATCACCATATCGGTTATATGGTGGGAATTCTCAATCCTCGCTCGTTCGTTTAGAAAGTAGTCTGTCTCACTTGATGTGCCTGATTTATGTAAACTAAAGGGAATTGCGATGTGATAGACGACAAGACATAAACCAAAGGATAAAAATTAGTATCATGTGTATAATAGCTTTTGGGAAAAGCACCGCGATTGGGAAAAGCACCGCGATTGGGAATGGACACATCATCATAATGATAACAACACCCTCAATCATGATTCTCACCTTATTTCGTCTCTTACAGAACGCAGCAGGTCGGCGTGATCCCTAGCAGCTTGGATATTAGACTAACACAAGAATCACTCCTTAACGTTAATCACTTAATAACAACCATCTCGCACTTGGGCTAGCATTCACTCACTCTGTCGTATCATACATACCTTTGTCTTTTTGAATTCTTTAGAATAATCGTAAAGAATGTCTCTGTGTCGCTGTAGCATATGCATCATCGAGGAACTTGCTGGCGCCGATGATGGTCGATCCAAAAGCTCTGCCATCGAATTAACCACCAGCGTCAACTGAAAAAACGAACGCAGACAACTTTAGCATTTACAGAGAATGATTCGACTTTAGATGCACCGATCATACCTTCTTTATCAACTCGTCAATCTCTGCTTCCATAGCTTCAGCACTTAGTCCTGTTATCCCACCCCCAGTTCCGCCTCTTTCTCTTCCATAACCGCTAGCCAACTTTGCATACGCAGATAGTTTATTCTCGATCTCGCTCTCTAGCTGCCGTGCCTGCCTTCGAAGAAACTCCCAAGAGAGTTGTTGTGAGTTTGAAGCATGGTCTTTGGATGTGGTAGAGGCGGTAGCGGTAAGAGAGGGAGGAGAGGGAGATGGCGGTGTGGTGGCAGTAATAGTCGAGTGGTGTTGAGAACGAATCATTTTGGTGTATGCTTTGTTTCTGAATAAACAGCTGGCGTATGTATCGAGTGAGTTTGATAAAAGAAAGTTTCAACAATAATTAAATACAGTTCATTGTATAGTTCGACCGAGTGGAAAAAAAAAGTAAATATCAGGATGCACAATAAATAATAAAAACGAACTTTTCAACACTATAATCGGTTGTAGTCCGATATCGAATATGCCACATGACAGATTTTAATCAAGCTTTATGGACACGTGGCATAATTAAGTGACTACAAACCAATGGTGGAGGGGGGGAGAGGTTATCCGTCAATTAAACGGCGCGAATTAACAAGTCTTGGCACGGAAAACCAGTCTCGAAGTATGTCATTGTAGAAAGCTATCATCATAATTATGAATACAACGGCAAAAACCGGGCTACGTCAACAAACTAATACCCAAGCATATTAGTACTGTATGTAGAATTGCAATTAACACGCGTCCGTCCCCAATAACATTACTACATTAGACGTCTCGAGCAAGACAAATAAAAGCGATAGAATATAAGATAGTCCTAAAAGCCAACAGCTCTTGTCCTACATACAACAAGAAAGCTTGCGCTTACTGCTAATACTAAGATATGATTATTATTTTGATTGCCACTTTCACGTGATAATCGGTTAAATTCATTTCTCACTGTTTTCAAACAACTCTGGCTTTATAACGCAAGTGGGTAATGGTGAGTAGAATTCTGTCGAATATTAGAGACAATATGTCAAGCGATATTAATATTGTTCGATATTAATCAGGTTATGCTTCTTGTTGTTGTATAGTCTGCACTATTCAACTTTCAAAGCTTGCTACTAGTGATATTACTAGTGATCTGTACGTGTACCTATGTCAACTCTAAAGCTCCAATGCTGTTAGTGCGTAACAAGACAGGGTGAGCAAGTCAATCAGCAATAACTCGGAGGAATGGGCCGAACAGGCAGTCAGGTTTTAGAATAATAGCTGTAACACTAAGCACTGGAAGACACAACGTTTGGCCAGGGCTGTTGTTATTATTTATTATTGACAATTGCGACCCTTGATTAATATCATCATTCCACTTTTCACCTTTCTCAGTTTGCTCGGTTTATTCTGGAAAGCCGCGAGAATAGGTTAGTTTCCCATTTTCGCTTTTGAAAAAGTTTTCACTCGAAAACATGACAGTTCTCCATCGATTGCATTCTTCTCCATCGTATTTCAAAGACATAAATTAATTCCCCTTTATTCAAACCTTCCAACCACATATTTTCTATCCCCACTACACCTCTACGTTAACATTTCTCCAGGAGAACGTCTGAGTCCATATGTTGCGCTCGCATGTATAGCCATGGCAGTCAATATTCTTCTGCAATAAAGGGGAAAGAGCCGATAATTACTTGCACCTTGTTCGATTAGGCAAGGAAGCAAGGCGATATTGGATGAAAGAGAAATATATCTCATTTGTTAGGAGCTTCAGTAGTTTGGGTTTTTCGGGCTTTTTGAGTTGTTTGGGTTGTTGTGGGTGGTGGTTTTGCGCGAGACTGTTGGGAAGAGAGATTACAGGTTAGTAGGAAGCGTGCATGAAAGTAAAATTCAATTGTGAGAACATCGAGAATGTAAAACGCAATACAAATAAAGGAGATGAAGGAAAGAAAAAAAGAGTAAAGTAGAAATATTTTTATCATCACTAAATTATTGTCTTCCGAATCGATAGTCTATCGTTAGTAATGCTCTTGGTCTTTCATACCTCGTCGAGATCCCTTTTTGTCCTTTCTTCTAATTCTCTGATATCATCCAAGGTCATTCCGTACCACCTATCAGTCCAGCAGAAGAGCTGTCTGTGGAATTTAGTGAAGAGTGATTGCATTACCTATGTGATTGGCAAGTGCATTCCAAACTGTTAGTCAATCTATCCCCGTCTCCCTCAAAATAGATTAAGTCTATTTATCTCATTTAGCCAATCACTAAATTGCGCTTACGCTATGGATAAAAGCCTCAATCTTATTCTGTAGTCCGAACCATTTGAATTCCACCGTAACCAACTTGTAACACGTCATCACGGGTGTGACCGTTTTCTACAGTTATACAATAATCAATCCAACGCATCCAACTTCAAATCAATCATACAAATCTCGATCAAAGTTAACTAATCAGCAGACTCAACCACACTTAAAATGAAAATTCGTCGTTACAATCCAGTCTGCATTTAGAGGCCCACGTCCAGTGCGTTGAGAAGTGTAGAGTTGGGGATCTTCTTCCTCCTTGTAATCTTTTGCTTCGATCTTGTCATTCGCTACGTCGATGAGGACGACTTCACGTTGAGCAAGAATTTCTGGAGAGCTTCCAAGAGCCTGTTTAAAAAAAAAGGGAAATTGATAAAATATTTGTAAAGGAATCAAATGCTATGCTGACTACTCAAAACGACTATATGTAATTACATTTTCTATTTCTCCTCTGCTGCCATCAACGTGCAAGGATTCGGTGACTAGTTTGAAATTTTCTTTCATATATCCATTCTACGATAGAGAGCGATAAGTTTAGTGGGATAACGAGATCGTTCGTGGCGCATGTCCAAATATGAGTTTCTTCTTTCCGATTACTTACAGTCAAAACTTTGATCAGTTAAAATAAATATTACAAGTTATTTAGTACAGTTACGTATCTACTACAACAGAATCATAATCTTTATTCCTTACCTGTCTTGCAATGTGGGTATGCATTCCAGGCTTCTTCGTATAATTCAAGAGCGCCACTGGGTGCTAGTACTCTGATAATAGCTGGCACTTTACTAATACAAATAAATTGGTAAGTATAACTATGTTGTAAATATAGCACGAATATTATCTCACACAACCCAAACCTGGAAAAATGATAGATCTTGTAAGTGTATTGTCCTTTGCCATTTTCATCCGAATATGGCTCATTCTTGATCACTTCAACGCCCTCTCCGCCTCCAGTCTCGGCTTTAGAAGCCTCGGCTACTCCGTACAATTGAGCAACCTGGGGATTATTAGTAACAAGCAAAGTAAAATCGATGGGTTATTAAAGCGGGCAAGGCTAGTAAGAACATGGGTGAATGGGAATCACTATATCAAACATTCTATTTTGTACGCTCTCGGTTTATTTTCCGTAACGCACGATTTCTCCATGCTTTTCTCCACGAACACATACTCCTCCAGTTCCAAATCAAACACTCCACTCATAGCCTAGGTCTATTTTCGATCTCCTTTTTACCTGATACTCGTCACAAGTACAGTTGTTAACAACTTGGTATTCCTTGATAATCATCTTGACAGATTTTCTATTAGTTTTCAGAAGATATGCGATCTTCTCTGACTGGGTCAGATAGCGGCTCAATGAATTTGTGGGGAATAAGAAGGTAGATGATTTTGGAGAAGGTGTCAGTTGGGCAACCCTGACAATTTCAATCACAGTTAAATTAGTTGGCCGTGTAACAAACACATAATCTTATTCCCCGATCCTTGAAATACAATAAATACAGTAGTTTTAGAGAAGTCTGAGATCATTTATCAGAGGACAACAAATATTGTCAACCGGCATGTAGAGATCGAATGACTTTGACAATGTCTATGAACAAAACGCAAGCATGTCTATGCAGCACACACAACTATAATAAGACCAGTATTAGAATGCGCTACCGATTATGACGGCAGTTTTCCCAATTGGATAAAGTCGACCGTTTTTGATTGGCTGAATTTTGCATAATACCTCAAGAAGTTCTTTGTGCCATTAATTTTTAGAAATTAATACAAGCTTTTTACGCGACTCGATTAAGAAAGCTTTGAAATATTTCGATAATATATTATTCAAATATCAAAAATGGCCAGCATTGACTATTTAATATTATTGCTACTATGCTTTCCCCAATACAGAGTTGAATCAGGTGTTAAATCTATGTGCTGTCGTGAAATCATTTATTATGGTGGCCGTATTAGTATGAACATAATAATGTGCTTTGCTTTGTAAGGCAAGTAAACATCAACAAAACCAGCCTACAAATTATGGTTATTATTATTATCATGATTAGTTTTGAAGCGGCTTTTTGGCCAATCTCAACTACGTTAATACCGAAAAAATCGTGTGTTACCCTAAAGTCTGCTACATCTTTATACGTTATCATTATAACATTAATATAAAAGCTAACTTAATCGTACCTAATCATGGCTTCTATTTAATTGGTAATGCCATTATTAGAGCATGTTTCTTTTGGAAGTGGCAAGCTGAGAATTCAAGCCTTTAAAGGTCAATAAGAATATATGCCTGTTAATATTAATATTAAATGTCACGGCTGATGCTGATCTGTTCCTACTGCGGCAGTAATGGCTCATGATTATAATAATGGCAACAACAAACACCTCAGCTCACGTTCCTCCAATTTTAACATACATTCTCATACGCTCGGCTTGGTTCATTAGAAGATTTAACTTATTACTGGATTATCTTGTGTGTACGTTGAAGGGAAATAATTTCCTGGAGATAACGAGTAAAGAATGAATAGTGACGAAGAATTGTACGAAGAGACACTTCGATATGAAAACGAAATATACCGAGATCCACTCGACCACGAGATCAGCGATAGGTAACGGTTAGATACAACTACAAATAATATAACGGTTATTACCGCAACATACTCAATTATACACTCTTTCCGAAAACGCAACCATACTCACCAACTCCACCCAGTAATCTAAGCGAAGGTAGACTAAGCGACGAAGAAACAGAGAAACTCCTTAGTTGTGTATATTATACAAGTGGCCCAGTTTCAATATCACCCCCCCAACCGAAACGGCAAAAACTATCTACGTCAGTGCACAGCGATAAACGAACGAACGATGCTCAATCAATGAGACAATCGAATGGAAAACAAAATCAACAACAGCAGCAACAGCAGCAACAACAGCAGACCAATAAATCGAGCAGAGTAACAGAGGACACTCCATCATCAACATCAACGTTGAGTAGACTATCGTTGACTGATACGTCCTCTTTGAGCACTTTACAGAATAGTTCTCCTTCACCACTCTTGAATACACCTTCGAAAATAACTACCTTCGGTAGTTCTTTTGAAACTCCCTCGCGGACTTCTTCGGCGAGTCAATCTTCAATATCAATAAGATCCCAAACCCAAACTCAATCTGCTTCCTCTCATAGCTCGTATTATATTCTCAAGACTTCATCTTCTTCGTCATCCTCTCCATCCTCTCCTCCACGTACCAATCCCACCAATCTCAACTTTTCAGATATTGAAGAGTCAAAATACGGTATTAATCACGCTCATGTAAGAATGCAGTTACCAAATAGAAATAAGGATGACAGGGACATTATTACATTAGAGGACGATGAAGATTGGGCAAATGGAGAGGTGCATGTGAGTATAGGTCGAAGAATGAGTGCGAGAATGAGAGATAGAATTGGATTTCGGATGGGAGATGGGAGCTTTAAGAGTATGAGACTGGGTGATAGGATTGACAACCCTATATACATACTGGAAGACAACCCTATATACATACCGGAAGACGGAGATACAGACGAGGGAGAGGATAATGACGAGGGAGAAGAACACGAAGAAGAAAATGAAGTAGAAAATGAAGTATTAGACGCAGAAGAACCATTTGCAATACAGTTAATATCAGCAACAAATACTACTACATCCACCGATGCAGTTGATCTGTCCGAGGAGTTTGGTGGGCCACCAGTGAGGGTAACGAATTTGTTCCTATCTTTAAAAATAATACCGTGCAAAGCATGCCAATTATGCAATATGTCCAGCAGGATCTAATTATCTCCATCCAATATTTTCTGTAGAAATCCAATAGATATTTTATGCTCAATCATTGTCCTCTCTGTAAGCAGCTCGGTCATCTGAAAATCAATTGTTCTCGTAATCGTAAAATAAACCAAAGTGCTGTCCGCTCTGCTAATAAGCTTGAAGTTAGTTGTTATTTCAGTTATATTTTGACCTGTGCGCTTGCATCTATGAGAAACATGTACTCACGTTAATTGTACTTTATTCAGGATGTATGGAGAAAATATAAATATGAAGTGGATTGTGACTTTGGCAAAAACGTGAGAAGTTTTTGTTATACATGTGGAGTAAGAGGACATTTTGGCGATGTAGGTATAAATAAGAGTAATATGTGTAAGAATGTATATGGCATACCAATCACGTGATATTCAAACCTTTGGGAAAACTTTAAAGGAATGCAAATCAACTAGCACAGGCTATTCTGCATTTTCGAAATCTCACATCACCAAAGCCGAGAAGCATATAATGGGTTTGCGTGAGAAATCAAAGGAAGAAATCGTCGGCTAAACAGCAATGCTGAGGAAGAAGGTTAGAACAATCGCATGCGTAAGTGTGATGTTCATATGTGTGTGATAATTAATATTTCAATCCTACTGACATTGATATATTATCGCCATAGAAGGTGTTGGAATCTCAGATAGCCTGCGACCCAGTTGTGCATAGTTATCAACGTGTAATAAACTGTCTGATAATCTCTAATTGTAAATACTAAGTCTTATTGTCGTACGTTCGTTGCTTCGTGCATTTTCAATCTTTACACTCATTTTTCCCCACACAAATATAGCTCCTTATCATACTAATCTGCATTGCAGAATTCAGGGGGCCAAACCAAAGTTTACAAAAGTTCAGTGTCAACTAAACCATATTTATCCAATCACATCATTCGCACGCGACAATGTTTAACACCAATGTCACCTGATTCTCTCAAAAATATAAATCCCCGTTTTCCTCTTTCCGTCAAAAAAATACTACCCAATAAACGATAAGCTCTATATATTCCCCCCTTCCCCTCCTCTAAGTTGTTCCTGTTTATCCGTCCACGAGTACGCCCTTGTCTTTTAATGTCCAGTTGTAATCTATACGACTAACGAACGTCACGTCATATATATAGCCTCGAAGGAGTTTTACGTCTCCCAAGTACTATCGAGTGGTATTGTGTAGGATAATAAATAGGAAAATACTCCGATCAGGGTTGAATATTTTTGGTTTAGTGTAAAGTAATCAATAAATATGTCGTATCAGTATGATCAATATCATCAACAACAGCAGCAGTATGGGGGCGCTATGGATAACAAGACTACGTTATGGTACGTTATTTGAGATCATGTTGGAAGTGCGGGTAGAGGAGACTAGACGTGGAAAACTATAGAGAGAAGAGGGAAAAAGAAATAGTTTATGTATTGGATTGGGACATAGTGTAGCATCGTTTAGTGTAGTAATATATCACGCATACCATGTCGTTATGTGTTAGTATAAGAGGTAAGACGCGAGGAGAGACACGAAGATATTGCATTGACACCACGATTGGGGGATATGAGTTGGAACATTGATCTTTATATCTAAATATGATATACTCAACGTACGAATGCTATCACTTACATATTTCGCTCATACTCAATCCCACTGCGTTTTTGCCTTCTCGATGCTCAAATGCTCTCCTACCCTTCTAACATCCTTTTACTCTATTAATTTACCTCTTTTCTTTTTAATCCTCGCTTCTCCTCCTCATTCTCTCCCCTTTTTCGTTTTACTCTCTCCCTTGTTACGTATATATTCCAGGATGGGTGAGCTTGAGCCATGGATGGATGAGGGCTACATACGAGGTCTCTGGTACCAAATGGGGGAACAAGTGAACGTGAAATTTATTCGGGACAAATTCACGGGGTGAGTTAACTTGAGGGAAATAGCTTAAATATGTGAACTGAACAAAAAGACTCGAATGGCTTTGAAATCTTTCGTGTTCTAATATAGTCAGTATATATTTGAGTATATCGGGCGCACATCTTGTATTTTTATATCAACTAACGTCACACATACTAACCATATTTATAAAATTTCTTACGGGGTTATGGGCAATACAGTGCTAACGCGGGCTACTGCTTTGTGGATTTCGTGAGCAATGCTGCTGCAGTCAAAGCACTCACCACTGTCAATGGAACGCCCATTCCTGGTACAAATCGTATGTTCAAGTTGAATTGGGCATCTGGTGGCGGATTGAGTGACAGGAAGTATGTTTGAAACTATAGCAGGAGAATGAATTATTAGGGATTATATTTCATCGGGTGTGGAGCACTTGTAACTGTATTCGGATTATTTCATTATATTTGTACTATCCTTTTATTCGATATTGGAGTAGAGACGATCGTGGACCAGAGTACTCGATCTTCGTGGGTGATCTAGGGCCTGAAGTGACAGAATGGATGCTTGTGGTATGTATGTAGTATATCAAATGAGTAATAAGGCTATACACATAGATGTGAATATTCAAAGTAATAGGAATTGTTGCATCTACTAAATTTATGTTAATGCATTAATTTTGTTTCCTAGTCTGTCTTCCAGCAACGATATTCCAGTTGTAAGTCAGCAAAAATTATGACTGATCCCATGACGGGAATGTCACGTGGTAAGTTATACATGCAAGATATGCAAGATATGTAGATATACATATGTATATGTATATGTATACACGTTCCAATCCAGTAATCTCAACATGCTTTTCTTCCTTAAGGTTACGGCTTTGTACGATTCGCTGACGAGTCCGAGCAACAGCGTGCTCTAGTCGAAATGCAGGGACTCTATTGCGGAAATCGCCCAATGCGTATTTCAACGGCAACACCCAAGAACAAGGGTGCCACCAATCCGATGCAGACAACTGCAACAGGATATTATCAACAGCCACCTCAAAATAACCCAAACATTAGTCAATATAATGATCCGAATAATACTACTGTGTTTGTTGGTGGATTGTCTGGGGTTAATAGTGAAGAAGAGCTACGAAGGTACATGTATATGGATATTGATTGATATATAGATAATTTAAATGTAACAACAAAGATAAAATAGACATCGTATTAGCTGAAACCTTTACAAAGTCGTTTATCCAAAAATGTCTACCGTGCGTTTAATGATATTTTGACACTAACTTGTGCTGTCACGTCTGTCCCGCAGCTACTTTGCTGGGTTTGGTGAGATTACCTATGTTAAGATCCCACCGGGCAAGGGATGCGGCTTTGTACAATTTGTTCATAGGCAAAGTGCAGAAATGGCTATCAATCAAATGCAACACTATCCGATTGGTAGGTGTAAATAAGGAGGGTATTTGCATCAGATAGACAGCGATGAAGTGACGGGGAATAGAAATTAAAGATGCCATCCCATATTTGTATATGCAGGAAATTCGCGGGTCCGGTTGTCGTGGGGTCGATCTCAGACTGACAAGAGTTCCATGGGCGCGTATCGGTAATAATTATATTGATTTATTATCGTTTATATGTGTACAAAGCTAGCGTGGTTACCACTATAACTGCTGTGGTGGTTGTATAATTAGGACTGCAATGGCTATTATACTGCAGTTACTAGTGTAACCATATTAGGTTTTCGTTCGGTTGTTATTTGGTCATTATGATCGATTTAATGGTTATCACAACTATAGATAAATATTTCTCTAACAAATGTCACTTTTCTTTCAACGTCTAACCCAAATCGCGTCTCACTTCTCACTTAACCCTGTCAATCATCTTATTATCCCCCTCTTTTTTCCTTTCCACCAACCTAAACATTTTATCAAGCCCCCCATCACAAGCGCCACCACCTGCATATAACCCATTAAGTATGACTCCCGCACCTTCGTACGTGTATTCGCCATCTACTCCCGTAATACCTCCCCTACCCGCAGCTCAATCTCAGATTCCTTCACAGGTAGTCGATCCACTAGAACCAGTTCCTGTAAAGCGTATGAATGAGATGTATATCACGAAGAAGGAGGGATTGTTGGAGAAAATTGAGAGTGATGGAAGCAGTTGGAGGGGAATCTATGCACAGTGAGTGGGGGGAAAAATCAAAAAAAAAGGGTAAGGGGCGGTGGATGCGCGGTGTTCATATCTGTTGTGTTTTCTGTTTTTTTTGTTTTTTTTTGTTTATAATAAAGTTGATGCGTTAGAGTTTTTAAAAAAAATGGCTAGATAATACATTTAGTTATTTTATAGTGAGATACAAATATCATCAAAAAAAAAATGTACAACAGGAATTAGGCATGGCAGGAACAATATTCTTTTTTTTTTTACGCTGTGTAAAGATACAATAAATACACTAGTCGAGCGCTTAGACAAACATAATAATAATCCACTTTAAAAATCTGGATTAAGTCGTAATTGGGGGGTTTTTTCTGCCGATCATTTTTGATAATAAAAACATACAAACTTCAAATCCCTAAGGTTTTTGAAGGAAGCAAGCTACACTCACAAAGACTATATCAATTTGGTCAAAGAAAACGAAAAAGTAGTGCTATTGTGCAGGCGTTATAGTATTTATGAGTGTAGCTTGCTTCCTTCAAAGCCCTGGCGATTTGAAGTATCGAAAATGATCGGTGAATGATCGGCACTCAACGTTAAATTTAGCAACTAAGATAGCTCTTAACCAGAACTAGTGAAATTAGGCAGCTGTTAGGAAGTCACATGAGATCATCGTACTTTAACATAATTTATTACATTAATATTCACAAAAAATTTTTTTAACGTAAGCTTGTAATATAGACTTCGCCGCATCCTCTCCAAATCTTCTAGTTCATCTTCCGTTCTCTCTAATTCCCTACGAACTTTCTTCAACATTCTCCAGTAACTGGTTTCTCAGCGGAACAGGTTAGCTGCATTCGGGCCTCTTGTAATGTTGTTTTCTGATTAGGATCAGTTCTCATATCATACTTATTAAACATTCCCTCGATAGGCCAAATTTTGTATTTCACAAAATCATAAATAAGCGGGAAATTGTGAATACTGGAAGCATCAGATTCCGCAAAACCAAGAAATTGTTAACTCCGTAGTAAATACAGTCGCACCTCGATATAGTCACGGCGTCGGGATACGAAAAGTGAGTGACTATAACAAGGTATGATTATATCGAATTCCCTTCATATAGTCACCCAATAGGCCTGTTACTAAATTATGTGACTGTACGAAGGTAATATTATATGTATTACAAGTGGCTCTCGATATAAGAAAGTGATCGGGACCCAACAAATTCTTTTCTTATATCGAAAATCTCTTATAACGAGAGTCATTTGTTATGAGATTTTAAATCGGGTCCAGCAAAAATACTTTCTTATATCGAAATTTTCTTATATCGAAGGGTTCTTATATCGAGAGCCACTTGTATTATATCAATAATCATGCATTGTTAATTCATAATTTCTTATTTATTTTAAAAAAACTGCTGCATAATTGTTTGATTTTTATTATAAAAAAACTCCGCAATTGAAGTTTGTTTTGTTTTTTTAATTTTTCGTATTCTAGTCGATATTGCTTATGCATTTTCCTTAAAAAATGTAACTCTTCGCACTTTAACACTAGCTAAGTATGTGGAGCAGCTGGAATTTGGGAATGGTCTATTTTTGACTGGTTGATCGTATGGATGGTCATGTGAACTATATTGCAAATGTGACTATATCGAGAGTGACTATATCGAGGTGCGACTGTCAAAATCAGCCATTTACATCTCGGAATTTATAATAGCATTTTCTGACACGTATTCAGCTATTGGCCATTCTTTATAATGTTCCACCTTGAAGAAAGAGGAGATAGCTTCCAATATGAAGAAAAAGAAAGAGATCAGTGTCTAGCATACATATGTACTATTTTGAAAGAATTATCTAATAAGCCAACATCGGCAAGATAATATACTGAACAAGAACCCCTTAACGTAGTATACACTAGAGGAGTACAGCAAGCTCTAACACGTCCAGGTAGGCGCTAAGAAGTGTTTTTTCAAACATCAGCCATATGTGATTCTTGGCATATGGGTGTAGGACCGTTTGATGTAGCAAGAGAACTATTAATGAAATAGTAACATATACTAACCTTGTCTACTTCGACATAATGTCTCAATTGAATAAGAGAACGGGTATGAGATGTTTACAAAGTTTCGCGCGGCTGATATCTGCCACAAGACAAAGTATTCCAACGATCGCTCCAAAGAGTTAATAACGAGCTGTACAGCAGTGTGTGTTGATCCATGGTGGATCATAGCAATGCAAGCGAATAGAACGAAAGTTGCTTTTTACGTCATTATGTAAAATATTACTAGGATCGGAAAGTTTATGATCGAGAAAAGGATACCAATCATCAAGGATATTTGATTGACTACATGGTCTGAATATCCTGATATTCTGATGAACCATCTTCTAATTGATTTAGTTAGAGAATTTTCATGAATGATGTGTCTTTTCTTTCTTTTATCCAGACACTGAACGCACGTTTTGGATAGCGTCTCATTGAATTTTTAAAAATCGCTTTCTGAAAGAGTCTTTTTGCAATTAGTACAGCGCGGCATGTTTGAATAAATGCGAACGATTGAGGTAGGCTTCTCAATTTATTTTTGTTCAAATTACACAATATTATGCTGGCCAAACAGGATGATGTTGAGCAATTTCTCTTTATTTGTTTGGTAAAAAAGGCGATTGCAAGTGTGAGAATAGAATCTTAGTTCAAAGACGTTTCTAACATTTTTATGAATTGGAGATTTTATTATAGTATAAAAGAATAAAAATGTAAAAATTTATTTGTAAAAATAGAATAAGAGATTAACAAAACAGAGACAGGTTACAAAAAATAAATACGAGGAAATAAGACTATTTTTATTGTTTTATTTGGCATTTCTCTCAACTTTCTCTTATTATTATTCTTGTCAATAACTGTTTTATTACCAAGAAGAGAAACTACGTTAGCACCGAATATTAATGTTATGACTTTAGATGATTGCATGTTAGTTTGGTGTATCCTTTATTTGGCACAGCTACGTGGATACGCTATGATTATGATTGCATGTTAGAAGATTCGAATAAAAGTCAATAAACATTTAAATTTCAGACGTACGCGGATATGGTGAAGATCGTCTGTGTTGTGTTGACACATCGGGTCGCCCTAATTTATTACTTTTTATGGAAAATGTATCATGATCAATGATCAACCAATCACATTTCGGGAGGAGTTGTCGCGTTTTTTTATTTATTATTCTTCTATATTGAAGCAAAACTTGAATTTTGAGACATTATGACGAAGGTAAACAAGGCTATTTCATTAACAAACATTCTCTGGCGACATCAAACGGTCCTACGCCCATATGCCCACTATATTTCTGTGGATCACATATGGCCGATGCTTGGAAGGACACTCCTTAGCTCCTACCTGGACGTGTTAGAGCTTTGCTGTACTCCTCCAGTGTATACCACCTAGCGGGGTCTTTACCAGAAAGCCGGACTTGATAATATCCTACGCCCATATGCCCTATATTCTTGAGGATCACATATGGCCGATGCTTGGGAAGACACTCCTTAGCTCTTCTACCTGGACGTGTTAGAGCTTGCTGCTGTACTCCTCCAGGATATATTATGCTAGCGGGTTCTTTACCAGAATATCATCTTGTCGATGTTTGCTACTAGGCTAATTCTTTCGAAATATCTACATATATATGCAGACACTGATCTCTTTCCTTTTTCTTTGTATTTGGAGCCTCCTTTTTTAAGACGAAACATTATAAAAAATGGTCAAGGATGTAGGATCAGTTCTTGATGATATAAAACGAAAACTCAAATCAATCAGTAATCGACAAAACTTGTCGAGTCCTGCACGAAACAAATCTCTCTCCATTTACTCTGCTTTTGATAAGACTATTAAAAGGCAAGAAGTTAAGGATTTGCTTGAGAGGATAGAAAAGAAGGCAAGTTGATGGTTGGAATATAATTACATACTAAATAACAGTAAATCAATTGAATAATGTGATTTTTTCAGGCCGAGTTTCGGTCAAGAAAATTATTATACAAAGAATCAATGAAGATTGAAAATTTAAATGATAAGTGGGAAGTTGCTCCTGAAACGAGATTGACAGAAGAATCAGTAAATATCTTGTAATTAGTGTCTTTTCTTTAAGGTAGTAAAATCAGCCAGAGTGTGTAACTGTTTATAAATCATTGAAGACAAGTCAAATGGATCAATTGACTGCAAATATTTCCTTTGATTATAATGAAAGAGCAAAAAAGCGTATCAAGACTCATAAGGTAATAGTATCAGCTGTTGTTGAACTATGGTTTAAGCTTGATAACTAACACAAATCCTATGAATCCAAGCAGGATAGTAAGTATTATGATAATATTAGCAAAGGTAATCCTTTTGGGTACTAGGTGAAATATTCCAACCCCCAACCTCAATTCTCTTCTGGTGATAATCCTTTTGATATCAGGATCCAGTGAATAATACTAATACCAGAGTCAGGGAGTTCAAATGAGGTTGAGTAACCCTTTCTCGGCATTAAACTTGGAAGTGTATTAAAGTTTTTATATTAATATTACCTAGGAGTAGATGGAATAAAAACGCCGCCGCCTCGGCCGCTAAATGATAATGGAGCACCTTTCTTCACACCAAACAAACGACAGATGAATAATGAGAAGATTATTCAGTACCTTGATGCCATGAGGCAGTTATTGAAATATGATCGAGTGCGTTTTCAAAAACCACTTGTGTGTACGGAATCCTTAAATACTTATATTGATAATTTTTTGAAGGTGGGGTTTATGGCGTTATATTGGGAGGCAATCACAAATGTTCTCCAACGCTATATCCTTTTTCAGTAGTGGTTGTCAGTGAAATGAATCGGACCCAGTTATATTAGAAGCTAGACGAATGTTAAAATATCTTTTTACCGTGTTATAGGACGTTGGAGATGATTTTAAGTCAGAAATAATGCAGAAGATTGAAGGTGAAGACAACAGGTTCCACCTTTACTATGAAAAGATATCGATTGATTTGTAAGTTTATCCCATTTATTGTACTTCTTTGGATGATTCAACACTTAGTCTTGTTCTTAATTCTAGCTACAATATGGTCGATATATTTCCGAATTTGTCGAGAAAAATCGGAGAACGAAAATATATCGTCCAGAATATTTCTTCTCTGTTTAGATTTTATGAACGTACATTTGGCAATATGTGTTTTGATTGGATCGAACCACATTCGCCGGGATCAAAATTGTTAAAATCACCTACAAACTCTGGCATCGCTATGGTTGATGTAAGAGGTAAGCATTGGTGTATGCTTATAATTTCAACTTGTGATTTAACAAACGTCCCCTAACTATTTCAACAAACTCCGAAAGGTATCCGGTTATTCGATGATAAGGAAATCTTCCAAGTAGAAGTATCAGGCCCGCCATCACCAGTATCATATGAACTATATTCTACGTTGCTGCCATTTTCGCTCGATGCTATATCAAAGTACAAAGTGATTGGGTACATATCTCGATTTGTTTTTAAAATTCTATTGGCTGCCGATAAATTCCATCAAATATTTCTATTTCCTAGAATTAACGCATTAGATAAATACTGTATAGTAAGAACTTCGAATTAACATTGAAATTCGATTGTGATTACAGATAACTTTTTTTATTTCTCCCGGTGTCTCATGTCTTGAATTAATATATGGCCTCGTGGATTCTATAACTCGCATAAGATGTGTCAGAGATGATAATATTTGGGAATAATCCATTATTTCTGTCGCTTTTATCAAATAAAGTTTGTGCATCTTATAGTGTCAAATTTTAATTCGCAGTTTTATTGGCAAATTAGAAGAGGGTACAAGTCACAGAGGGGTATATATGCCGGAAGAATACCGTAACTTATACCCGGGTATAAATCAAAATTTGGCGTTCAAAATTGCCGTATGGTATAGCGCACGGGGGGTATACATGTCGGTAATCTTTGTCGTACATTTCATATAGGTTTACTGTGTATAATAATAAGAATTCTTTCTTCCTCCTCCAATAAATAACTATCTATCCATACATCCCATTCTTATCTCTATATATACGCGTCATGCGAGCTTCCGTTGACGAGTAAACTTCGTTATCCCAATATATATCGATATTGTCGTCACGCTAGAAAAGTAAAACAATTTCATGTTATGACTTTCGGCATCATATTTATATTATCTTTCATTAACTGTTTTTGTGTCAATTACTTTCCAACGCGCAAATATCGTGAACGTTACTAAATGGGCCCTGATCTATCAAAATGGGCGGTTATCGATCATTGAGAAATTTGTATTTGGGGGTTTTTGACAGCAATGACCCCCTCTCAGGATAACATGAGACGCATTGTAACAAATGATCTGCACAAATATTTGGGGTTGAATTTCGAAGTCTGGGGTCTGATGTGATGCATGGAACGGCCTTTGTGTTACTCAACCTCAAACTGTTGTAGAGAAAGGGTTTACTAATGTACTTGAGGTAAAGACTACCAACATGAGTAGAGGGGACTGCTGAGAACATGTCTGAAAAACAACATTTAGTGTAACTATATCGTTAACCGCCATTTTGATAGATCAGGGCCAAAGTTAATCACAGTCATGCAACATAAGGTGAATGCAAAACGTTCCAAATTTTTTCCTACACACAGAAATCTAATTATGGTTTAGTGAACCGTTACAAGAAAAAATTTATGTGGAGAAATTGTCAAGCGAGCGTTTTTATTTCTGTTTTTATGGACAACTTAATCTAAAGTAAATTCTAACTTTTTTATAACAATTATATCGACCCTGTCTGATAATATTGTACCGTCAACACAGAAAAATTATATACTTATTATTATTATTCATTGCTATATTTTTTATAATCGAGAAGCGATTGAATGCGTCCTTATCGTTATTATTTTTATTGCAAAAAATAATTTAGCAAATTTTCAAAGTTAAACTCTTCGCCCAACTTTTTAACTTCGTAAATTTAATTTTGCTAAAATTCAGTAATCATATAGTGTTAGGCCGATTGGAAGGGAGTCTTGATTACTTGTTCCAGTGTCCTGATTTGTCCTAAAAAAGGAAATTCGTTATGGATCAATCGTAAGGTTTAGAGAAGTTTAGAGGCAACCTCATTGCTCTGTAATACCGAGAATGCTAGCATACACAACACAGTTTTATTGATCCAATGCATATACACTTACACCAAACATTTACAAAAAGTTTAGAAGTCTTTAAACTGCTTATTTTAATAAAAAAATAAATCTGCGAAATATCGCTACATGTATGTGAAGTGAATACAAATAAAAAAACCTGCTAATCACTGATATTATCATCAACCTTAGATGGTATAACAAGAACATCACCTATATCGATATCCAAACTACTCCCCACATCCGAAATCGCCATATCAAACGTGGGGTTCACGATATCAGGGACGTTAACATTCCATGTGAATTTATAGCTACTATTTTCAAGGAGAGTCACTGATTGAGGATTCAAGCCCATAACAATTGTGTGCCAAGCACCATCGTCACGTATGTTACTGGCGGAAAGTTGTTGGAAGTTACCACTGGTGTCATACCATTGATAGTTGAAACTACCCGCGAAATATCTCAGAATTACACCTCTGGGTGGTGGTCCGGTGGCCCCCGACTCCCCATACGGACAGAGAGATAATTTGGCCTCAAAAGCATTTTGTATAGCGTTTACGCGGATACGAAAGATAATAAAGGCACCAGCTTTGGTTGATAAGTTATTTAGAACACTAACAAATGCCCATTCGTTAGATTGTTGGGCATTGACGACCTTATAGTTCAGATAATTGTCAGCAGGATTCACCTGAATCCCTCCAGAAGCGTTACTAATTGACCAATAAGGGGGAGGATAAGTAGTAATTTTTTGGATTGTAGACATATTGATTTCCTGATACTGCTCAAATGTTTGGGAGGGCCATTTAAATATTTTGTAAAGACTCGGGTTGATTCAATTGTGCGGGTGAGAAGAATGTTTCCTTGATGTATTGTTTACGCCAAACTAGTTGTAGAATCTCTCGAAATAAAATTTACAATAACATGCATACTCAAAAAATTGCGTAACTTAAACAATAGGTATCATAGGTGCGACGTAACAAATTTTCTTTCATAATCAGGAGTGACCGTTTTAAGAGATCCCGTTCTGGTTAGTTTTGATTAATGGGCCGTTCTTGAAATGGGTTGACCCCGTTCTGCAAAGTGCGGAATTTATTTCTGTCGTAAATCATACCAAGGTAGTGTAACAGCAAGTCAATATGGCAGGTGAATAAAAAAGATTTTCACACGTGCTAATAATCATATTTATTTTTCCTGGTGATCGCTTTACAAAGTTTGTATCACAGACATCAAATAGTGGATATTTTCTTTTATTTCACCTCGTTACAATACAAACACATTTTACGTCTGGAAATTTTCACCTGTTTCACTACCTACAGTACATCAGACTGTTACTCATTCCTCCCAAAGCTACCAAGGATAACCATGAAATTTCTTCTGGGGAAGAGTGCCTAAATAAAGACCTCGAAACCTCTTCTGGGGAAGAGGAAATTGAAAAGCTGGGCGACTGGCAGCCAGCCTGGTTGGAGTATTAATTTTTTCATATACTAGAATAAGAAAAACCGGATGATGAATGCGAACAAAATTTGCATATATGCAAAGGTTTTTATGTACAACGTGTAACAGCATAGCACGAAAACATTTTACTTAGTACGAGATTGTATTGATCGATGATTCAGCGAACGGGCCAACCCATTTCAAGAACGGACCAAATCCATTTCAAGAACGGACCAACCTGCAAGCGATGGATAACTTTTTGGCATCGAATATAGCGATAGCCTTTAATCCGGAATTCTTGCGAGATGCATTAGAGACTCGAGTAAGCTCTTGATTTTTTATTGGATAATATCAATAGAAAGATAAACTATTTGTTTACTCTTTATAACAAAATGCTTTCGACTATTATCATGTTATTAATACAAGGGCTGTACAGTTTGGGCTACAAATGCGGTTCGCTCGTTTATAGGTACATCTTCTGGTAGAACAATTTGCTCTATAATTGCAGCTATCAGTATGAGCGACACTGTCAGGTGGGCCAAACGCGGAGTCATGAATCGTATGATTTACCATCATACGATAACGATCTGTCTTATGTTTTGTTCGAACAAATTGTAATTTGACGACTAATGTCGAACGACTTATGATTGGTTGATCATACGATTAAGTCTGTTTAGAAGAACATGACCAAATGAATCTGTGGCTCAAATTTCTTTACCTTACCATGCTTTCTTCTCTCTCAAAACAAACCGATGCACCACTAACAGATAATAAAAAATCTATGATTATCAACATTTATGATTACTTTTCTGGTTTAGTACCGCAGGAAAACCTCACATTACGCAAGCGAGTTGCTTAAGTATTGTGTCGCTGAGAGATTAGTTGAGAACGTGGTAGTAGACTGGAAGAAGTGCAATGGCGGTACATTTACGGCGGGTCGGAAGCATTCCAACATCAAATACAAAAAAGGGGGAAATCATTGACCGGCTAATCGCTCATAATTTTCAAAAGATCGAACTTTTAAAAAGATGACTTTTTTTGTGGAGAAATATCAAAACAATAAGATTATTAGGGTTTTTTTACCCGATCTATCGTTGTGAGCTTTACCCAATTGATTAGTTAAAGGATTAGGTGAAGGATCTTTTTGTCCATTCGAAATACTCTTCTAGACGCGTTTAAAAATAAAATTAATTTGCAAGTTATAATTGGGCTTTGGAGAAAAGCTCTTAAATACATCAAGGGAAATTCCAAGTCTTATAATGACTTTGATAAAAAGCACATATATTTTTATATGCCTCAATATAATTTAAATAACATATATTTTATTATTATTATTTTTTTTTATTAACATCTTTTTGAGGTGCAAATCCTTTCGCAACCGGACTATATTAGTGAAAATAAAGCCAATGTCATGATAGAAGTTTATTTATATGCTGTTTCTGAATGTTGTCAAGGGTCGTTTTGACTATAAAGGATGACTTGAAAACAACAAATAAATAATTATTCTTGAAAATAAACCAACCATCGATAAATGAATTCCAACCACCTCCCTTGATAAAATAAACCTTGCATATTGTCCCTGAAATCGACGACGATCAGCCTCGGTATATGAAATATAATGCATAACAAAACCTCGTTAGACTTTCGTCGTAAAACTTGGGTAACTTATTGCAAGCGATTCAATACTGAAAACAATCAGTTCGAATGAAAGATAATAAATGCAATATTGTTCTCAAGTCTCCTGAAGCGACTGTGAAGAAGGAGCTTAGTGTTTATAAACGTAGCAATATGGAAGCTGGTTCTACTATATGACTTCCGCTACGATAACGAAAGCTGTAATGAAATAAACTTTATAACAGACGTATTAGTTTGATGAAACAATGATTGTTCGTTAAGAAAGATTATGTTTAAGAATAAAGTGAAAGCGTTCGTAATTGAGTACGTTCGCTGAGAATAAGAGTTAATGATGTTGTGTCAATATATTATTGCTTGTATCAAAACGGGGCGAATCTTTCCGTCGCTCGTAACGTACTGGTCTCACTATGTATCCCTTCGTGGCGAACATTTAATAACTTTCTTGACCAGCATGAAGGCTACCGATAGTGTTAAATGAAAGAGAGATATTATTATCTCTAGTATATGTACAGCCCCCTCCAATAAATAACGGAGTGACACAAAATTTTAATATAAAAAGTCTTTCTTTTAAAAATATCTCCTGCAATAATTTTTGTATGGTTCTGAAGCTAATTAATTATGCTTTTCGAAAAAAAAAACTATTATAAGTTAATAGCTCGACGAAATGTGTGTATACGCGCTATACATGTATGTATATCACAATATAAGAAAAATGCCTGATATAAGAAGTTCCATTTGATTAAAAAAAATTACAAGAAATGTTACGCTCGATAGTAAGAGCGAGCCAATAATAACAAAGCTTTTACTAGCTTATTCTTCATATCTCTTGATGAAATTTGTTAGAAATAACCCTACATAATGCAATCCTGTAAATCGGATGGATGTTGAAGCAGAAAACAAGCTGTTCTGGAGGATTATTTCCAAGGCATTCAATAGTAATAGCATAATCATATTATCCAAATGACTAAATTTTGTGCATATGTATTACAAAATGAAATATAGTCTTTTTCCTCTTTATAAAAGAAAATTTTTTATTGATATTATAGAACTTTCTTATATCGCGAAAGTTCGTTAAAAGAAATTGCTCGTTATGATAGAGTTTTTGATTCAATCCGACGACTTTTTTATAACAAGTTTTACTTGTATCAAATAAATAGACAGGAATAACCTATTGTCTAAATATTAAAGAAAATCATTCACCAGGGAATGGCCTGAGATTGAGATAAGAAATGCCTTAAAAGACGTTACTAGAAATTATTGTTGGTTGTTATTTATATTCTAAAATAATTCTATATTAGTGCGTTATTCTTAATAGAAGCCGATAAAATTGGAATTTTTTATCCCAAATTTTGTGTTTGGCGGGAGACGTGCCTATAGGTCAGTGGAAAAAATAACGGAGGCTACGGTTCTAACTTTTTTTTTCTCCGTTAAATCGAGTTTTATAATATACCGGACACCATAACAAACCATGCAAATCTCAAGCAATTTACAATTATTGAAAAAATATGTTCATTATACAAGGCAAGTCAATTAACAATAAAATTAATGAATTTTCCCAGCATAGCTTCTTTTACAGATAATAATAAATAAGCCTTAATAACGCGCTAATTTCTACAATTTGATTGATTGATCAAAAAATTTATTACGGAGTTTTTTACAACATGACATCCGTTATATCAAGCGTGCTTTTGATAGAACTGACATATAACGCTTTTCGGTTAGCATCCGTTATAGGCTTTATTGACAGGATTTGGTATATCAAGACAATTTTATTAGTACATCTAGCTATAATAAGCGGACGCTGGAATCTCAGACCAGACATGGAAGAGTGGTTCGATAAATAGCTCAATGTTTTATTTATTCAGTTAAATAGTTTAGAAACATACAGGTCTATTTTATACCCTAGTTATAAGAAATATAAAGAGCCGCCTTCAAGAATTAACTACAGTACGCCTTGGTGGATGTGCGTATGTAAGCAAACTCGTGTTTGATGTCAAGTTTGGTGAATATTTCCCAATCAAAATTAAACACAAACGGCATAACAGTGATTGTTCGAAAAAGAAGAGAGGAAAACAATATCTGGAGACTTTTCTGTCATCAATGTTTCCAGACCAAAACCCTATTGAGAACGTATAGTGACACTAAAGTGTTGAAGAGAAACTTGTAAAAAATTGTTTTTATGTTTCGGAATATCGTCTAGACATTGATTGATATCGTATGATAGAATATGAGATTAGCGTGTTTATTAAATACAAGGGTATTAATCATCGAGCACATTATAAAATGGAACGAGAAGAACCTTCGTATTCCGCCTACCACATTTACATTTACTATATTAATGTGGGCAAGTAGATGTAGAAGCATCCTTGCTTTGTAAGACTAAAATAAACAGAAAAATTAGTAGGCTCGACTTGCAAAGCATATATCCTATTTTCTGGAGGCAGTTTCGGAGTGGTTATATATTTCCTCACAAGTATTCAAACCAAGAGGCTTCAACACATTTTAAGAGTTAAAGTTCTAGAATTATAATTGTTTTCTCAAGAGAATTAGACGCGTTTTATAACAGTTATACAATATCAACATACTAAAAGTTCTTACAACCTAAAGCCAATTTGCATTCCCGTTTTGACAAAACCGTCCAGGCTACCATTGTTTTTATGTATTAAGCAATGCGCATTACTTTCCGAAGGGACAAGAAAAGCCTCAACCCATTGCAAGAGTCTTCTGACATACAGTAGTTCCTGCTTAAGAGAATGTATTGGTTCTTTTCCTAAATGTATTAACCAATGATTGATTTATTATTGTGTTTGCTTGGCGGGTCGATTCTGGATAGTTATATAACGCTATGTATGATCTTGCACGCATGTTATCATATGTACGGTTTAAAACGAAATATTATTTACGTTGAAAAGACGATGCAACCGGAAATATCAACCAGTAATAAGCAAGATTTTGAGCGTGTGATTAAGTATTAACTTAAAGTGGTATAGATCAGGGAATGGAATCGTCCAATAAAGAGTTTTTATTAAACACGTTTTACCATACGTCAGACGGTTTAACGCCATATCTGATGAATGAAATGGATATTAATTTATTCAACGTTGGCTTTAATCGATTCTTCTCTCTCTCATAAGGTAAGCATTTTTTTTGTTACAATTTAGACAGCTATTTATTGACTGGGTACGAAACAATGAAGAATACAGACTCATACTCAAAATTTCACGATTCGGACAGATAGGCCTATTAATAGTTGAATACATTCGGCGTTATGTAGTCGGATAACGTTTACAAATTAATCACACCAGTACTATCAATTGAGAACAGTACTGCAAGCAATAAACACGGCATGGAGAAATTCCGTACTGTACCTTTGCAAATCTGTACCGTACCATTGCATTATCGGTAAGCACCAACTGTCACATATTATATTTAGCACAGCTTTACTTCATATAGAGTTCTGTATGCCTGATTGAATGTTAACGGTGTTCAAGGGGTGGTGGATCTTGCTGTGTAATGCGGTATTAGATAGACTTGATACATTTAGACAATTCGATCCTTACTTTTATACCAATACATTATTTTATTAACATTCATGTAACCTCTACGAAGCTCATATTGTCATAACGATTAAATAGACATCAAAGTAAACGAATGTGGCACTTAACCGTCAGCAATTACCTTGTATTGCATCTTATGCAGTACAACAAATGTTGATACAGAAAAAGAAATCACCTGTCGACTATTTGTTAATAACATTATCAGCTGCGAATGCTTTCCAAGGCATCTTTGCTAGATACAACGTCAGTGTTACACTTTTCGTCACTACAGTCATCGATTCAGCTATCTACTGCTCTAATGACAACACCTTCAACCTTTAACAATCAATCGTCTTCTACCACGTTATCTGGATTACCTTTAATAAGTTACGTGTTTATCTTATTTTCACACAAAATATTTCGACACTAGTAAATGATTCAGTATGAATGATAATGCAACCTTGAAGGTGGGCAACAATGTAAGTTAATGTCACGTGGCAGTCTTTTTCCAATCCATGAGAAAACAATACCAAATTGTTCGTTCTGTTCGTAAACTTGTAAAGTAAACTTATTGTAATATTGACGGCTGCATTCTCTTTACACTTGAAATTCAGTCTGCTAGCATTGATACAACAGTCTTTGTTCAGGCCATTCACTCTTTCTTTACTAATTCAATACACTGTTTAACGAAAGTCCGGTTTAACGGAGATGGCTTCATAACGAAGTTTTTTTTTGGAACACTTTCCTTGTTATGTCCTTTAATTACTAGACGATTATGGTTAAATTAAGTCATGCCGCTACTAAAATAGTAAGCATGCCCTTAATACCACGTGCGAGCGGGTAAGTATTACACGTTGTTGTTGATTAACATTCAGCTTGTCGCCGGGCTAACCCGTGTACTAAATTTCCACATTATAAAAAAAAATGATTGGTTCAGGCAACGGCCGAATCCAACATATATATATTGTGACACATCTCGAATTTTCCCCAGATCTCATATTACTAACTACGTCTACAAATATGTTAAACCCCTTCGCTTTTATCATTTTCGCAGTCATGGCCGTGTACACTGACGCATCACTATTCGTAATAATCTTACTATCTCCAATTCTTTTTGTTGCAAACCTTGTTCTCCGTAAGGCACGCGAAACTGGCACAAAACCGTGGCATCCTGCAGATAAGGTGGTCCTTATAACCGGAGCTTCGAGTGGAATAGGCGAATCACTCGCATATACGTTTTCTCGTGCTGGATCATCCGTGATTCTGGCTGCTCGACGGAAGGATGAATTGGATCGTGTTGCCCAAAAATGTACTGCACTGGGCGCAAAAGATGTGCTCGTCGTACCGACAGACGTTGCTTCTGAAGCGGATGCGAAAAATCTAATAAAGAAAACAGGGGAGAGATATGGTAAACTGGATTGTTTGATATTGAATGCAGGCGTGAGCATGGGAGAGACTTTTGATACTCTGAAGAACTTGGATATCATTAAGAAGTTGATCGATGTGAACTATATGGGATGCGTGAACGTCACTTTTCATGCATTGCCGTTGTTGAAGAGATCACCAAAGTCGAGAATAGTCGTCAACAGTTCTCTTGCAGGGATTGCTGGTGTTCCTTACCGAACCGGGTATTCGGCGTCCAAATTTGCGGTCAGAGGGTTTTTTGAAGCGTTACGGGCAGATTTATGGGACAAAGATATCCATATAACGATGATCTACCCTGGTGTTGTAGTGAGTTCCATAAATAAGACGAGGTTGGGTGATCAACCTTTTGATTTAAATATGAAAGGTGCTATGACGTCAGAGGAGTGCGCACGTATCATGTTTGAAGCTACTTGCAATGGCACAAAAGAAGTTGTATTTACCGCGAAGGGGAAGCTCGTAAGACTTCTGGAAGCATCGTTCCCCGAATTGACTTTCTTTCTTATTAATAGAATGGCACGAAAGATGCTTAAAACTTAGAAGCAAATATTAGGAAGTAATCAATTATGACAACTTACACTGACATGAACTAGCAACTTGCAACGAGAGGGACGTTGTTTTTTTTTTTTTTTTTAAAAAAAATCAACATGCCCTAGTACGATTATTGAGAAATCAACGAATAGGAAATTTACTTTATTTATCAGATTGCGCTTGTGAATAAATACCGAAGACTATTATCCCAGACATTTTCATACCTAATAAACATCCGAGACTTTTCTACTGTTGCGTATACAAAAATACATTGGTAAACAGTATTTTGCACGTTAGGTACAAAGAATGTTGTTCAAATTAATGATAAAATCAATACTCTAGTTGTTCCCAATTTGCATGCGATGGAAAATAACACGCCACAAAGTCTTTCTATTTGAATTTATTGAGCATTTATTTAGACTTCAAATCATCGAATTTCGCCATAATTATGTAAGAAGTACTGTAAGCGTACGTGCATGATTGATTTCAGGAATTCCAATTACATGCTAATAAGAATTTACCCTAATATAACTAGGAAATGTATTTGTGTTAAGATAAAAGACTATCTTGGTAAGTAAACACGTGGTAATAGTAGATCACATGGGCCAGAAACTCATTACGCGCGCCGAATATTAGGAATCTATTCACGAGTACAATCCTAAAACCAAACGTCGGGATCATGGCAAATCGTAGGACATGTTATTTAGGGAAAACCAAAAATTATGGAGAATCGAAATTACAGTTGTTTGCTGTAAAAATCTTCTTGCTTGCAAAAAAAAAAAGTTTATCCTTTGGATAAATGCTAAGTATCTTCAATAGTATGGTAGAGTTGTTTTTATTAGTCTGGCTTGCTCCTGGTTTCCATGCAAATATGCATTCAAGACGAAGGCCATTTGTAAAATCAGCAGTAGTACAACATGGTCTTATGTTCTTTTTGAGCTCTTTCACTTTGTCTGATTTGTTTGTTTGCAGCATGTTTCCATGTCTATTTGTATATTATACAGAATATGACGATGTACTTTGGCACTAGCTATTTTGGGTATTCTTGTCAATACTACTTCTTCTGCCTATCAAATAAATAGTTGTCAATTACCACGATCACCATCTCAACATATCACCGATGAAGGTAGTTTGGAATACATATAATCAGGACTTACTTTTTCTTACCATCTCTCCCTTTCTCCTTATTATCAATATCATCATTTTCCTTGCAACCCTTGTTCGCTCTCTTCCTTCCATTCTCCTTCTTCCCAACGCCAACTATCTGTAATTTGTCGACTTTTCTCGAATGATTCTTTATATTCTTGTCTTTATGACATCTCATCACTCTTTTCCGCTTATCCTCACCAACATTTCTATTAGCTCTAACACGTGATCGCGTTGAACGTAGTAAAGAAACATTATTATTATAATAATCCATTCGTCGTGTTTGTCTGATGAATCTTGAACAGCGGGAGAGATGAGAGATGTTGGTTCGATCGAGCATTGGAGAAGATGTGCGAACGAGGCCGAAAGAGATAGAAGATGAAGAGCGGCCGATGATTGTGTTAATTGTGCTTCGGTTTATTCTACTTTGATTTTTTGCATGTTGACTATCTTTATTTTGAATAGTCTCTTTTCGATTAAACTCTTCTTGATCCATTGATTTTTTCTTCCATGCATCATCCGACATATCTTCTAAATCTTCACTAAACTCATGTTCATTCTCTAAATCTATGTCATTATCTTCAGCTCTTATTTTACAGTCTCCTCTCTGTTCTTTTTCCTCACCCTTAATCTTTCTCATCCCTTCTCCTGATCTCTCATTAAACCAATCAGGGTTGATATTCTCCACGTGTTGTCGGGCGTGTTCGTATAAGGATGGTTGAGTGGCTCGTAGAGTGGTCAACCAGGCTGAGAGTGAAGATCCGAAGAGAGGGAGCTTGTGGGCAGAGAGGGCGAATGGAGAGAGAGGCATTGAGTAACAATATGTATATGTCGTATGCGTGAGGTGTATTAGTGTGCAAACGCGTACGTCAAGCGGAACATGAAGAATGAATGGAATTATCAGTTATATTATATTGATGGTCATGCACGTATTCTATTCTGTGTAGTTAAATAATACTGAGTTGATGTACGTGCACAGTCGTTACAGCGTATGTGAAAGGAAAAGAGAGAGATGGGGAAGAGAGGAAGGGGAAGGTGTTAGAATGATGAACGACGCGACCAGATGTCGTGAGGAGATGTTACACACGAATACGTGATTGACGAGTGATTTTGAAGAGAATGTTAATGCTATTTTATTAGTTACTATTTGAATATGTCTTCCATGCTTGAACGTGGTGAAGAAATAAAGAAATAAATGTGATGAATGATGAAGAATTGAGCAAATCTATCATTTTTATTGATAATTAGGTAACAATTTATTGCGAGAGCCGTATTAGTCACGTTGATGGATAATAACAGATTGAGCGAGAAATATTAACAATCTCCGTCTTTCGCTAGTTAATATTTCAATATAATATGCCTAAACATAGTTATCAGAAATCTAATCTTGTCGTTATTATTATCTCATGTCTAGTTGAATTTAGCAGTACCACCTGATGAAGATACAAATGGGACAAAGTGACGCTCGCTTAAATTGTCAAACGCTTCCTCCGTATTTTCTCTCGTGCCACCCATTAAACGTTAATGGTGATCCATGCTATAAAACAGGTCCAATTCAGGAAAGTTTACATCACGTTACAATAAGAAAAGGTTTATTGGGAGGAGATGATACATCATCCATGTATGACGGTAATAACAATACCATCCCATCAGACCTTTCCGCATATCAGGTCTACAGCTCACTAACCAGGCTAGTCGTGGCATTCTCATCATGGTTCTTTCTTTGAATCCTCTTCTGAAGATGGAAGTTGAAGCATTGGGAAGTGATGTCATGTATACTCCAGAGACATTTTTCATTACAGCACCTTCACGTCTTTCCCATTATTTTATGATCTGATCCGTTTGCTTATAATATTCTACGTATTGTATATCTAGGTCCTGACTGAGGACTAAAGCAGCAGTATGTAGAGTAAGTTTTCTTCTTTATGAAGCGCATCTCTCAGTATTGATCTTATCAAGATCCGTACAATGGAAACATTCCAATATGCGATGTACATAATTATTACTGGCCGAGATCAAGAGTATGCTGGATATCTCCATAAGAAGAGACAGCAAGCAAGATTGGCCAGCTCGAGCGATACCTCTTAGAAGCCAGTTCTGCCGCTAAAAAGTCGGCTTTGAGTGTGATAAAGGGCTTATTCTCATTATTCTTGTAGCTGTAAAAAGGGAGGGAATGCGCGCGTTGGCTGCAAAGGTACAAACACGTGCGTATCAAGATTCGCGAATTTCTTGGTTCACGTATATCATAGACTTTGTATAACGTAACTTCTATTACACATCTCGCTGCCCATTCTTACTTGCATGTGTTTCTTATCAGTCATTAATTTTTGGTTTCCAAACACTTATTAACAATCACTTTTGCCAACTTTGAGTTAAATGTCCTCACAGTTTCGTATGTCTGCCTATGCGACTCGACTGTCCGGAAAGTCCATGAGCGAATGGTTGAAGAAATAAATTTAGATATGTATTCCAACGTGATTGAGCAAATCGAGAATATAAACCCGGGTTTATTTGAAAAGGATATCTTCCTGGGTAAAAAGAAAAGCACGAAGAACAAGGCTGAGAAAAGGTTAATAGAGAACGCGATTTCCTCTCGACCGCCACCATCTCCATCTCTATCTACATCTCATCCTCTACCGTCGTCATTACCACCACCTTACGGCGACTTCAAAGAGAAGAAAGAAACACGTGATTTGGCAACACAAATAAACATCAAACTGTCATAAAGTCGAGATCTATATCACGGACATAATATGTAGAGTGGTCAACCAAGTTGAGAGTGAAGATCCGAAGAGAGTGAGCTTGTGGGCAGGGAGGGCGAATAGAGAGAGAGGCATTGAGTAACATGTTGCATGTAACCAAGTTGTTGTATGTTGGGGAAGGAATGATGAATGACGCGACCAGGAGATGTTACACACGAATACGTGATGATTTTGAAGAGAATGTTAAGGCATTAGACGCTATTTGAACATGTCTACCATGCTTGAACGTGGTGAAGAAAAATAAAGAAATAAATACAATGAATAAGGATGAATTGAGCGGGTCTATCATTTTTATTGATAATTAGGCAATTTCGACGTTGTGAAGGTCGTATTAGTCACGTTGATGGATATAACAGATTGTGCGAGAAATACTAATAATTATTACGATCTCTGTCTTTTGTTAATAATTTAATATAATATGTCTAAATATAGCTATAAATTGTCAAACGCGTGCCATCCATAAAAAGTTAAGAGTAACCCATAAGAAAAAGGTATAGTAAGAGGAGATCCAAGTACAACAGTAATGTTACGGCCCATTCTGGGAATTGGCCCATTCTAAGAACGGGCTAGCCCGTTTCGGGATTGTCACTATTTGCTTCCATTTTATCACATAAGATGTATTGTGTTGGCATCATCCAAATGTAATTTATTGGTGCACGGGATTATTGTAATAACAATACCATCATACCTTTCCGCATATCAAGTCTAACAGCTCACTAACCAGGCTAGTCGCGATATTCTCATCATGATTCTTTCTTTGAATCCTCTTCTGAAGATGGAAGTCGGAGGAGCATTGGGAAATGGTGTCATATATATTCCAGAGACTTTTTTTGTAATAGTAATTGATTGTCCGTAGACAAAATCCATCAGGCATGATGTATTGACTTCCCAATTAGATTCTCTTCATTGTATCAATAATTTCACTTTTCAGACGTAAGCCCGGTTTAACGATTGGAACGGCATCAGGGCGGTGGTTGGATTGTTTTGGCTTTTTCGTGACCTCTATTGGCCAAACTAGCTCGCTTTGGTCGCGATCCGGGATACCATTGGCATCACCTGATTTCACAACTACACAATACCAACATGCTAATACGGATGCAGAATGATTATCCATCGAATTTAGTCGTATAGCTGGAAATTGAGGTTCATCGACACACTGGACGATATCGGCGTCCCAAAGCCTCCAACATCTTTATCTGTAAAGCCCTATCAGTTGAGAGAAATAGGAGAGCGAGCATAAGAAGTTAAATCTCTGTTGGATTCTGGGCATAATCGAACTGATTCTTATTCAAGTCATTTACTTACAATATAATCGTGTAAAGCATCTTCACGTCTTTTCCATTAGCATTTAATGTTCATTCCGTAACAGTCCCAATTTATGATCCATCCGTTTGCTTACGTACTGTATAGCTAGGTCTAAAGCAGCAGCATGTAGGGTAAGCTTTTCTTTTTATAAAGAATAACATGAAGTGCATCTCTCATCTCAGTATTATTGATCTTACCAAGATCCGCACAATGGAACCATTCCAGTCTTCGATGTTCAAATGCCAAAGGCTCCGACAAATAACGTCGAATAACGACGAATATTGTAAGGAAAGTTTATTGTTCAAACTCTTATAATATAAACAAGAACATGACATGTAGATAATTATTACTGGCCGAGATCAAGAGTAAGCTGGATATTTTCATAAGAAGAGACAGCAAGCAAGATTGGCCAGCGCCTTGCCACTCGCGTAAATCTCTTAGCGGCCAATTCTGCCGCTAAAATGTCGACTTTAAGTGTGATAAATATAAAGGGCTTTTACGCTCATTATTCTTTGTAGCTTGCGCGTTGACTGTAATAGGTACAAAACACGTGCCGATCAAAATTCGGTTACTTTAATTTATTTTCATTCTCGAAGCATCGCATCAGTGTCGTAATCTACACACAGTCAATTCTCAAAAATTTGAAGGGTCAAATTATGAAAACTATCCTTTTCTCGTCATGGAGTTAATGACGTTGGGTAATTGTTATATCTGAAGCCAAATGGAATCCCCGAGATATCCCCCTCTTTACCATCGAATCAATATAACTGATGGAAGAAAACTGTCCCTTACTTTTTTCCTGTTAAAATATACTTTGAAGCACTTTTTTCGTGAGACGATGATTTTCATACTCGGATGCCTCATTTTATTCAAATTATGTAATTAGCTCAAACATATTTTTTTATCAAAGAATAAGCGTTATTACTTGAATTGTTGTTCTATATTATTCTGACCCTTTCTCATAAAAATAAGCCCATTACAAACAATCTAAGCCGAAAGTGGGGTTTACAACTGCCTTTTGTACCTTTTTGTTAAAATTCTGTGCTAAAATACGTACGCATACAAGCTTATCCACCGAAATTAATTTGTTATGTTTGCACGTCTGTTCGCTCTTTCAAAGCATGTCTTCTTGGTCTGCTATTATATTCTCGCGTACCATTCTCATCTGTACTTTGTGTCCGTGGTATAGATCTATTATTATTTTTGGCTTTTTTGTTTCCAGGAGATGACTTTATATTTATGCCAGTTTTATTCGTGTTGCCAACATCACGTGTTTCTTTTCTTCTCTTTGAAGTCGCCGTAACATGAGTCGATGGAGGAGATGAAGATGGAGATGGAGATGGAGATGGAGATGGAGATGGAGATGGAGATGGAGATGGAGATGGTGGCGGTCGAGAGGAAAGAGAGGTTGAAATGGAGGAGGAGGAGTCGACGGTACTCTTGGCATGAACATTTGACGAATCTTTAACTCTAACGTGTCGTGTCGTATTTTTCTTCCTTTTCCAGCAAATCGCGTTCTTCTTTATTAACCTTTTCTTAGTCTTGTTCTTCGTGCTTTTCTTTTTACCCAAGATATCCTTTTCAAATAAATCCGGGTTTATATTCTCGATTTGCTCAATCACGCTGGAATACACATCAAAATTTGTTTCTTTCAAATCTTTCAACCATTCGCTCATAGACTTTCCGGACAGTTGAGTCGCATAGGCAGACATACGAAATTGTGAAGACATGTAACTTGAAGTTGACCCTTAAGCAGACAAAAAGTGTTTGTTAATAAATGTTTGGGAAGCCAAAATTAATAACTGATAAGAAACACAAGAAAGTGAGAATGGCAGCGTCTCGTTTACGGAAGAGTATAGAATAAAAGAGATGTGTAGCAGAAGTTACGGTATGCAAAATTTATGTTGATGGCATGACATGATCTTCATAATCTATTCATGCACATAAGATTGAGTTTATCTGCAGAACGCGTGTAGATTTTATGTCACGTGTTATGCGTGTGATCGGTAAATATCTAGAACAAATCATTTTGAATAGTCATCTAAAAGCAAATATGCGAAATGGATAGAAGAATAACCCAGGATATTGCGAATACGGATATAACATAGGTTTCCTATGTGTTATTTCACATGACATGGATGCCCTCACCAGTAGTTAATCCAGCTAGCCTATTCGGCTGACCCGCTGGAATACCTTTAAACCCCGTATTTAACGAAGAGGAAGAATTTGAATGCATTGAATAAATTATGTATTCGATTATAGTTTATCACCGCGACACAATGATATTTATTATTGAGGGAATTTTAATCGTAGGCAATTAAAGAGTCGAAGAATTTATGGCGCGTGTAAAGCGAAGGAGAGGATGAATGCGAAAATGTGGTGGCTAGGCACAAAAAAAAATTATATGTTGTGTCACGAATACTGAAGAGAAGGATCCTATAGAGACGTGCCAAGGATATTCAATAGTCACGATATGTCACACTCTATGGTGATCGATTACACAATTTGAAGAATATGAACTCATATATTAATAAAACCAAGGGCTTTTCCTAGCCACTCCGTGCACACAGTAGTTGTACCTAGCAGACACACCATTGAGCTTCGACTTTCAGCGAACTGTGAGGGAATGTTGCATGAACATGTATGCCATATGAAGGTTAAGGAACTCAACCAAAGGCGAATATATAACTGGAAGTTTCTTTAAGAATATCTACCCAATAATTGATTTTGCTGCTGGAGAATTTCATTAGAATGTATCGTGACTCGGAAACTAAATTGTAACAGTCGTTGATTATTATGGACCAATTCATATACGTCTGCAACATTGATTAAGAGATATCGTTCTCTCAAACTGTCGTGTGTGCGTAATATGGAGTAGTAGCAGTTTACAGAATTCGGTCGTGGCTCTCAAATCAAACAATGTTTCTTGTTCTCTACCCGCATAACAAACCAGGGATCGGCTAGATCAACGTCATAGCACACACGGGCGTTCAAGAGAATGTAGGGCTATACGTTGAACATAACCTGGGAAGATCATAGGGTTCGATACATTGGAAAGGAGATCCTTGCCGGCTCATACAAATGCATCAGATTAAGCTACAAGTCGCTTTATTTATGATGTCTATTGCTATATCTAAAGCTGAAGAAACAATGAAGTATCACACGCGCGAGCAATAATAGTAAACCAGCTTTACGGTTAAGTTTCCCATAGGTAGCAATCGCATCGCAGGAAGCGGTCTTTACTAGAAGATTGTCGGACTATTGAAATTCGGCATCTCTCTCTCTCTCTCTCTCAAGAGTAGGCTCGAATTGACAATTGACGATAACCGCCAGACTTCCTGGACGCATTAGGGAAGCTTACTAGCTTTGTACTTTCGCATAGCTATGTTGGGCTAAAATACTATCTGAAGTTGGGATTGGAGTTGGGGGTAAAAAGGGTAATCTTATACGCGTATATTAATTGGATCGAAAGCGTTAACCTAAAGAGTGATAACAACGATAGATGACATTACAAGTTCATTTTTCACGGCTCCTTGGTCAGTTCAATGACCATCAAGTTATCCCTGTTTTCGCAGAATTGTGTGTCTCTTTGATGGCGGGGGCTTGATTCACAGTTTACAGTGTAATAATCCAAGATCCATCCTTCAAATGTCGTGTAG